TATAATTTTACCAAAAAACATGAAATGAAACAGACAGTGGTAGACATTAGACGTACGTCAAATTTTACCTTTGATAAAACAGTAAAGTAACGCCATCTACCAGAATGTTAGATATACTTATTATTCCGGTATACCAAATTTATTCATATCTCACCAGTTCATAGATGTCAATACTGTTTTAATCATACTCATTTAATATAAGAAAAATCATGTTTATAAAATTTCGACTGTATTCAAAAAGCTTTAAGTATCATAGATAAAATCAAAAGGAATCAGATAACGAATTTTACGATAACTATGCCATTAAGTGAAAAGTAATGAGTTAAATTTTAACACAATAATTAAATAATTAAACAATACTGGTACAAATGTTCCATTTCATTCAATTCAATCCTTTTGTTCAATAGTTTCTAGGAGAATCCCATTAATATAAGTCATAATTCGGGCTATTTATGTTTTCTTAAATGGGGAAGATTTCTCGAACGGAATATCGCGACATCTGGCGGGAGAAAAAGGCAAAATTCATCCTCGCTGGATGGCGTTGATCCATAAACTGTCAATCTAAATAAACAGCGCCATCTATAAATAATCACAAAAACTCCCAATACGATCTTATGAGACCATTTTTTTATCTTACTAGCACTGCCCGCGGCTCCGCTCGCGATCAGATGACCTATAAACAAATTCTTAGGTTTTACATATTAGTATACTCTTACATTGCAGTTTTTGTATTTTTTTCACAGATTTTTTTTTTTTAATTATTCATTTTTAATAATTCATTAAGTACCTACCTGAGCGACCGAGCTTCGCTCCGACTTTATTGCCAGAAGTATTTTTTGAACTAAAAACTTGAATAAATACAAAAAAAATAAAACTTTGTATCCGACCGGGATTTGAACCCGGACCACGATGCTTATGCCAGAGCGTGCGAAAATAGGAACCATATTTTGCGTGGAATAATGCGAAAGCTGCAAGAAAACCCGAAAATGTGTTTTCCCAGACTAATTTAGATCGATTTTTCGCGCCCGCAAACCGCCACATACCAAATTTCAGCGAAATCATAGACGAGTTTCCGAGATCGCTGGTATATATAAATATACAAGAGAGTTGATCGTTTAAATATATTAGATAGACTAGCGGCTCACCCTCGCTTCGCTCGGGTTCGTCGCTAGGATTTAAATAGATATAAATAGTTATAAGCCAACGTTAATCATATAAATCTTAATTTTTTTTCGTGATTTTTCTGGTGTTTTAATACTTATTAACCTATTCCAGACTAAGAGAAATCCAAAAATTCAAATATCATAAAAATTGTTCCACCCATTCTAGAGTTTTATGTCACGTCAGACGGGAACGCGGTCGAACGGGATAAAAAGTATCCTATGTCCGTCTCCTGGTTCTAAGCTACCTCCCCACCAATTTTCAGCCAAATCGGTTCAGCCGTTCTTGAGTTATAAATAGTGTAACTAACACGACTTTCTTTTATATATATATATATAATATAGAATATATATAGATAAGTAAAATTCGTCTTGACTATTATCGGTTTGTGGCTAATTACAGACTTTTTGTTTTAATAAAAAACCCCAACCTATCTATCTGGTTATAAACAAACACATACCTACCTTGTAACATATTAGGAACTGGGTTGAGGTTACATTGTCATAAGGATCGTAAATGAAAACAATATAATTCATACATCAATTTATTAATCGGAATTTAATACTGTATTACATAGAAGAAATGCACTTCTTAGAAACATTCAGAAGACTTCCCTTTGGGACAGTTTAAAACGGAGTTTCTATCTCCCTTTACATTACCTTATAAATTGAATAAATATGAACTATGTATTTTTGTTATAGAATCAATATTTATGAAGATCTGCATTGCCACATACTTAAAAATCTATGTATATTTTTCACAAACCTACAATTTTAGAAAATAAATCCTTAAATAGTATATAGTAAAGCATGAAACTACGATCGTCTATGAGATAATCTGGTTGAATAAATAAAATTTCGCAAATTAACAACAAATAATAACATACATTTTATAACGTTAGTTCTCATACTGTCGCTGCCACGATTCGTCAACAACATTTACCATCACAATAAATAAAGTAGAAATCAACTTATTTTAAAGAGTTGAATATCATTTTCATTCAATCAGGTGACCGCATATTAGAAAGGCTCTTTGACTCATATCCAACATAGTGAATAATAAATTTCGGTGAAAACACACAGCACAAGAATACTACCGATATAAATACAGACATCTTAATTCATTCAGTCAAAGTGAAACTTGTATAAAATACTCAATTAGAAATAATTATAATCAGTCTTGTTTAGAGAAAAAGTTTTATCAATACGCGCTGAAATCGTACACGTCTCGATATAATATTTATTATCACAATACAGTATGTCAGATATGATGTCATTCCTTCCCTTGGACGTAACTAGTATATAAATCGCCTGCTACGCTACTTAGTGTTATTATCACAGTTGTTTAGTAGAGGTGGGTGCAGTACTTTGTACATAAAACAGGAGCGACCTGCAATCCGCGACCATACTCGACCTACGAGGCGAACATCGCGCCCGCTCCGGCGCGGAGGGGCGTCGGGCATATACGAGTACATCTTACAGATGACATATGCACATAAACACATTCTTCATGGAAATCTTTCTCTTATAATGTACATAAATAGCAAGTAAATCTCGCATCGCAAACTGCTTATCCGACGCGAAATTCACACAGAGTTGTTCACCCCTTGAATCTATCAGACCCGTGCGAGTTATTGTTTCGTATCTTTAAGATGCAGTTTAATAACGGGATTTCTAGATAATAACTTTTACGTCCCTTTGAACTGGTACATTTCGTCACCTCGCGGTAAACTGAAAACTAAATTGAATAACAATAAAATATTCTTATACCTATCATATATTTTGTGAACGACTTGCAAGCTTTGTAGTCACAAACATTCATGAAATTCCCTCAAATAGTCAAAAAATATATTTTTGTCTAGTTTACACTTTCCGATCAAGGGAAGTGTTCTTATGTATTAACAATTGACCAACGCAACGACAGGTTATAGTAATGAAATATCACAGATTTTTACTCTTTGGACAGTAACGGGCTTCTAAAACAACACAATACATACATAATGTCTGCTTTATTAAATATATTTTGTACCAATTGACGTTCCTACTGTTAGCCCTTAGAACCCCTTTACGTACAAAGAAACTCCAGTAATTAACTAGAATTATGTGAAATTTACATTGTAAAAAATAATCGAAAACGATCACCAAGAATACATTTACTGCTGCTAAGAAATAAAAAGGAATCATTCCTCGGCTACCTGGCAATGACCGAAATACTAATGGTGTTTTCCTATGTTAAATGCACATATTTACATCCTTTTATATAATTTTGGAGAACGATACAATCGATTTTACCGCATTCGAAATCTAAGCTATTTAGTCTGACTGTTATAAGACTAATATCCCTAGGCGTAATACTCAAGATCTAATAACCATTAATAAAAATATATAACCTCGAAATTATGACTCGAAATGTCATCGACATCACTTTTACATAAGAAAAATATTCACAATTTTATCTGGCAATACAGATTGTTTTGAAGTATATCAAAAGCATTTTCAATTTTCTTACACTAAGTTGTCCCGCACATTTTCACTGGATAAGATTCATTAACAATAAAAATAATTTATATAAAATATTACATTTTATATCTGCCCTTTGTATTCCACCCTCTTAAATTTTACTCATCTTCTATATGTTTCGTGCATTTCGTACATCATACAGACATTTTAAAACGAAAGGCACCCGGGATTACACATAAGGGTACCCACACCAACTACTCTAACAAATATAGTGATTAAAATCTAATGGTGGAAATGACAAGTTATTCAAATATCCCACCGAAATGGATCACTCACTGTTGACCGTATTTACCATTTACTGCTACACATTGATGTTTGCATTATTATATATTTTAATATTTCATTTAAATAAAACATGTTAACTGTGAGACAGATACACAAATTTGTAAAAACCAAAATCACATTATTAATATGCACTCGGTACTCAACTCACTGGAATTCTATTTATTTAATTAAGCATTGTCATAGAATAGTAGTCCCACTAATATTTTAAGTGTGAAACACTATGTATTCTTATAACAATTCATATAAAACTATAAGTTATAACATGTTTCTTAAATAAAATTCTTTACAATAAACAATATAGAAAAAATTACCAGACAGTAAAGATTCAATTTGTAAAAGCTTCATATAAATGCCATAAGACAAAATATTTGAAAGCAAGTTACAAGGGTATTATTGTGTTAGTTTGATTGTAAATACTAATATGGTCAACAGGTAATAAACCAGATTAAACCTAACACACTTATTTTAACCATACATATTGATCTGAAAGATAAATCACAAAGCATTTAAAGTTGTGAAAAAGTACAGTAATTGTTCTCCCCATAAAGTAGTTTTGTCTTTAATTATAAATGAGGACCAAAACTGTTCATATTCTAATCAAATTTGTATGCTTTCATTCAGATCTAAAAAATATTCTAATTAATTATTATTAAAGTTATAAAAACAACATTGCCCCATCCAGTCAATAGTACAAAAACAATCAAAAATTGAAACTAAGTACGATATAATTCTATTTAAGGGTTAATAATCTGAAAAAAAAAACTGAATAGGGGTATCAAAGTAAAGTGAAAAGCCCTGAAATCTAATTATTTTTTGTGTCAAGAGGGCCATATTAAAAATAGTCCACATCATTGAGATAGCAATTCAGTCGATCAGAAATACACTTCTATGGAATAATTTAAACCTGAAATATTTTATACGCTAAACATTTAACTGACACATTCTGTGCTTTAAATATATATTAAGGTCAGTATATTGAGCGTGAAATTAGACTGAACAGATACACAATAATGTGGGTTAAAGTTTTATAATTTACTGTTGGACTGGTGCATAAAGCAGCGGGCCGGGCGGCAGGTGCGGGTACGGCACTCCAGCGCCCACGGCCGCTTGGTAGCCGCATGGACCACCACCGCCTACGCCGCCGCCATAGTATTTGCCACCTGATCATGTAAATTTAAAATGACGCTAGTAATATTAAAAAACGAGTACAGTAATACAATACAACTTAGAATACTAACCAAGCATATCCTGGTGATGAGGGTGCATTTGTGGGTAATGGGGTGGGGTAGCAAAATGAGGAGGAGGCGATCCATAGGAGGATCCAGATCCTGCAGATTTGTTGCCAACAGAGTTTGTGTTACGATGATATTGTTGGCCGCCGTTAGCACGAGTGTCTAAAGAAATAAAATAAAAATAATAAGAAATTACAATAAAAAATTATAAAGAAAAATATTAAAATAAGGGATAAAAATTGAAACTAACACTCACTGTTGAAGGTGCGCTGTCCATAGCCATTCTGGTTAGTGTTATAGGCATTCTGATAGCCATTATTGTATCCTCCTTGGTAACTTCCCATAGATTCAAATACATTAGGACTAGGGAAAGGTACTGTTTTTTGATAACCATTTTGTTGTCTGTAACCTTGGTTTGTATTTTGGTTCTGATTAGAAAATCGTGGAGCTTGTTGTTGTTGTTGACTATTACGATTTTGGTAATTATTCTGATTGTCTTCATTGGTCATGTTAGCCATTTTGTTATTCCACTGATTGCTCTTTTGACGTGGTGAACTTGCACCACTATTATTTTCCTTTCGTTGTTGCCAGCGATTGCGGCCTGTAACATTATAAATCATTAATAAAGAATTATTTGTCAAACTTATTTATTCTTTTCAAATCAGTAAGTGTTTAAAATTCTGACTTATTTTTTTTTTTAATTCAACTTATAAAAAATATATACACTGTATTATCTTACTAGAATTGTTGCTGTTATTGTTTCTTGCCAGGTCATTTAGTTTAGATGGAGGATTTTGGCCGGTTTCTCGCAGTACAGCTAATAAGGAACGAGCTTGACGTGCATCTCCACTAGTGAAGTAGGTATAGGCAGTGCCAGACTGTTGGCAGCGACCAGTACGACCTGATAAGATGAAAAATATTATACTTATCAAATTTAACTAAAATAATATGTGCCTTTTAAAATCTTCTTTACTAACCAATTCTGTGAATATAATCTTCTGAAGTATTTGGGTAGTCAAAGTTAACAACAAATTTAACGTCTTCAACATCTAAACCACGAGCAGCAACATCTGTTGCAATCAGAATGCTAGTTGCCCCATTTCGGAACTCTGTAAGGACTGCATCACGCTCTTGTTGGGATTTGTCACCATGGATGGCTAGCGCCTTGTGTCCATTGCGTCGCACTGCACGTGCTATGTCATCTACCTAATTAACAAAAAAATAAGTGTTACATACCTACAAAAGATATAAAAATAGTATTATGTTATTATACGATATAAACAAATGTCTACCTTTTTCTTTGTCTCAACAAAGACAATGACCTTGTTGTCTTTTTCTGAAGCAATCTCTTTCAAAAGATTGGTAAGCTTGACTTCTTTTTCATGTTCTTCACAGACTTCAATTATTTGTTTGATATTATTATTTGCAGAAAGATTCAAAGAACCAATGTTTACTTTGATATAATCAGTCAGGAAATCTTCAGCCAGTGCTTGTATTTCTTTAGGCCAAGTTGCGGACCACATAAGGACTTGACGATCAGGACGGATCTGTTCGATTATTTTACGGATCTGAGGTTCGAAACCCATATCTAACATTCTATCAGCTTCATCCAGTACCAAATATGTGCATCGTCGTAAGTTAGTAGTTCCTCTCTCCAGGAAATCTATCAGTCGTCCAGGTGTAGCAATAACAATCTCAACACCTCGTTCTAAGTCTCTTGCTTGAGGTCCTTTGGGAGATCCACCAAAAAGACAAGTATTCCTGATACAGCCACGAGCACTGTAAGCTTGAGCTACAGATTGAATTTGTTGTGCTAATTCTCTGGTTGGTGCCAAAATGAGAGCAATAGGGCCATCACCTCGCTGAATCCTTTGTTGATGAACAATATGAACGGCCGCAGGAAGCATGTAAGCTAATGTTTTGCCAGAACCTGTAGATGCAATCCCTACCATATCCCGACCAGATAATGCAATAGGCCATCCTTGAGCCTGGATACCAGTAGGTTCATCCCAACCTTGCTCTTTAATAGTGTTCATAATATGGTCAGGGAAATTACCCTCATCAAAAACTTGATTAGGACGTGGAACATTGTTGCCACTTACAGTTATCTCTTTAGCTGCACGGAACATTTCTACTTCATCTTCTGATCGTGCTTCTACATTAGCATGTGGCTTATAAAAATTCTTTTGAATGGTACCAAGATTTGACATATCCCATACTGGCTTTATTAAAGCATCACCAGGATACTTTGCCTTTCTACTTTGTAATTTACGATCATTAAAATCTGAGGAAGGTTGTGAAGTGCTATTATTATATATTTTCTTAGGAACAAAAGTTTGCTGGCCATTGCCATTGCTGGGTCCATTTTGATTGTTAAAATTTTTGGGCCCAAAATTCTTTTGGAAATTCTGTTTAGGTCCTCCAAAGTCTCCCTTTCCATTATAAAATTGCATATTGCCTCCTGAATTGTTTTCACCATCATAATCATTTTTCTTTGGAGTTTGGTTATTAAAATTATTTCTGGGCCTGTATTCTTTCGGTCCGCCAAAATCATTAGGATTTCCATTTTCATTTTTCATATTGTTAAATTCATTTCTAACCCCATTAAAGTCATTTCGAGGTCTAAAATTTTTATTGCCCATTCCATTTCTTGGCTGGAAATTTTTTGGCCCACCGAAATCATGCAGGCCAGTAAGGAAAGGAATTTTACCGAATTGTTCATTCCGGTCTAGTCGAGGTCTATAGCTGCCAACAAAATCTTTGATTAGATACATTTGTTACAAAGAATATTAGTTATGTGGTGCATTAATTCTTATTTTACTTTTACTATTACTATTTTATTTAGATTGTTTCTTTTTCTTGAGATACATAGCTACAGTTAAATTAATAAGTACTTACCAAAGTACATGGCTAAATACTAAATTTATTTAATATTTTTAAAAGACAATAATTTGTAAACTTTAACAGCTTTAACCTGGTAATCAAATTTTGATTTCTTTTATGCAGCTCCACAGCAACCAGCAACAAATGCATTTAATAATTGTATATAATAGCCACCTACACATTTATAAATATTGATGTATAATATTTATCCTATGTAGTATATATCATATTATATTAGTATGGATCAATATAGATAGAATATTATTAAAACCAATTTAAAAAAAAGTGTTTTTTATTATATATACAAGACTTTTAAGGCTAGAACAAAGGATTTGGGAAAAAAAAGATCACTCGCATAAAAAATGTCCTATCATGACTTACAAATGTTTGTAAACCTGTAAGTTGTCTGACAAAACAGTAGTTTTGTTATGTGCTTGACAAAAAAGTGACTGCTGTTGTTCCATAATAAAATCAAAACTATTACTAAAACTATTTCTTACACAATATGATAAACATAACATCAAATAAAACAGGAATGAAAAGGTTAAATAATGTCTTTACAAAGAATTACTAAGTGCTTTTATAGTTAAAATTGAAGAAAATGATAAATAGATAAGAGATTAAAGTTAAATAGATAAGTTGATGAATAAATTAAAGTCAAAACTTATAAACCATAGGCAAATACTTATTTAATGAAATAAATGTAAATAATATACCTATTGAATATAAAATATTGAAATCGTAAATATTAACAATATCTCATTACGAAATAACTACATTACGTGAGATTACTCCCCAGCTGTGATTTAAAACAGCTGGACATACATTTATTTTATATGAATATGATGAAAATACAATGAACCTCAAACTGCCAATGAACTTAAAAAACTACACTGTATTGTGTCAAAAAAGTATGATATTATTGATTTTTTTAAATTAAGGAGTAAAGGACCCTGCGCGGAATCGCGTCCATTATCAGCTGTGCGAAATGCATTGCACAAAATGGCCGCCAAGCTAAAGATTTATACAGCTCATGCGGCTCGTATAATGAATTACGAATTCTAGGCAATTTAAATTTTAGAAAACTAAAACTTACATGGGATGATGATTTTGAAAGGCGTTAAACTGCATAATGTTGTTTTATGTTCGTTCTGTGTAGGTAGTACCTACGTGGATGTAAACGCTTGAATAAGTATCTGGAACATATTTTTACACAAAAATAATTTTAAACTAATTTAAAAATCAAAATACAGATGGATAAGGAAAAATATAATATAACTTACCTCTCTTTTGAGAGAATTTGAATTTTTTTACAATTTCTTCATTCACGAGTATCGACCTCTCAGACCCGGCGAACGAACAACTCGATAATGAAAATATAATGGCCGACGGATACGGAAACCCAATTTTACCAGTGTAGCCTTTATAAAAAAATTTTAAATACAACTTATATTATTTTTTATTTTTGCCATCATCGACTCCAAGAAATTGGAAATACATAACAAACAATTTAGTTTACATAAGATTTAATAATCAATATATTTAAATATATATTTTTTATGCTTGAACATGAACATTGCAAGTGTGATATATGCATAATTATTAAACTATAAATTTGAGACTTTTTCCTTTCGTGGAGCTATTCTAAAGGCTTCAAAATAGATTCCCGTTAGAAAAATTAAAAATTGTAATTTTGCACTTTGTTATCAACAATTTCAAAAAAAATGTTTTTATTTAAATTTTCATTGCTTATTTAAACAATTTGTTATAAACAATGAAATTTTTCATATTTTTTTTTTATTTTTCTTCATAATGAAACAAAAACACCATGTGTTATTTTTGAGAAAAATAATAGATTTATATTTTTTATCGGATTTTAAAACCTAAGTAAATTTAGTTTTTTTTACCTAAGTAAATTGTGGATAACAAAGAGAAAATTTTATTTTTCCAACGGGGATCTATTCTGAAGCCTTTCAAGAATAGCTCCACGAAAAATAAATTTTCGAATTTATAGTTTAACAATTATCACACATGCAATGTTCATATTCAAGCAGAAAAAATATATTACTTAACTATTGTATATGTAACTGCAAAAGTTGTAATAATTTTTTCCGGCGGATTATGGTTTATTTATCTACCCAGTGAGCCCCTGAATTATTCCATTTCTTAAATATTATATTTAATAAAATGTTAAAATATTTTTTATTGATAAAGTGTGCGAAGTAGGCGTAGCTTGCGCAAGCCAGAGCACCCGTTTTTGACAGTATTTTCATCCCTCTAGGCACAGGAGCAGATTATAAATATTAGCGCTACAGTTCCGGGAGTCCAGACTTTGTTTTGGAAAATTTCCTCGTCTTTTTGAATCTTTTTTAAGATTTGAAAATTCTCAATTAGTTTTTGAGATACATATTTACGAAAAACCCTCTTTTTTTATTTAATTGTTATTTGTTTATAACTTTTGCAATTTTTGCAAGCGGAACTTGATTTTTTCTAAAATCATCTACATGCCATTCCGAATCAAAAGACACTACGTTCATATTTTTCCAAGAATGCTGAATAAAGTTTAAGTTTGTTTGTTCGTTTAAGTTTGTTAGATGCGATTTTTTATATGAGGATTGAAAAACTAAAATTCACTTTTACTAGCAACACTAAAATTTCTGGCTCTAAAATCATGGATGACAAATAAAATCTAAAATCTAATTCTAACGTATTGGGCTTGCCAAATCAAAAAAAAAAGGCAAAATTCAAAGTATTTACTAATAGCCGTTGAGGAGTTACACCTATCCACCTTCTGGCTTTACCATCAGATCCGGTCGACAATAACGAACCACTGCACTATCAACGGAAACAGAAGCACTTGCTGCAAATTTTCATTACCTAGTTTTCCACCCTTAGGGGTAGTACTTTTTTTCAAATTTAAATGAGATTAAATTGGAAGTATCCACTTTCAACAAATATTGTTCAAATCGGTTAATAAATCACGGAGTTCTGACGTAATAAACATCAATAAACATAAAAAATAAATACAGTGAATTGAGAACGTCCTCCGTTTTGAAGTCAGTTTCAAAGTAATTTAGGATAAGAAATTGTTTTCGATCAACAATACTACTAGCTATTAACTACTAATAAAATAAAAGCTAAATTCTGTCCGCGCGAATACATATTCGCGCATATACACACATATACATAAGTACATACTTATATAGTTACATTTGTATATAATGAACATGGACGAATTAGAGACTGATTCGTTCATGATAACGAACCAAGACAAAGTCTTATAATAGTTTTATTTTCAATCTAATCAATACCATAGCACTTTAAAGTCACAAATCTTCAAATTATTATCATACACTTACGATCATTTTGTAAGTTTTATAATATTTATTGTAAAATCAACGTTAGGTATATTGAAAACATAAAGCATCTTTTTCCCGTTGTTGCTTTGTGACCTAAATCGTTATGTTTTGTTTCTGTTTGCTTCTTAGAATTTCGCCAAACGTTCTTAGCGAATTTAAAATTGTTCAAAATTTCATTTTTATATTATTTCGTAGGCTAAATCTTAAAATATTGACTTAGTCTACATGTACTTAACGAAAATAAGACACTCCATACGAAAAATTTCTTCTTCGCGCATTATTTTTGCAACTTTTAAATACACATTGCGGCATTGTGAACGTGTTTACGCTAGCAGTGTTTCAATAGAACTAATCGGAATGTACCCTCACTTTGCAAGTGAGCTTATATTTACCGAGACGGATTTCTTACGCTGACATGATATCTAGTAGTTGATCGAAGGAAAAAGAAAAATAAAGTTAAAAATGTTAATCTGACAAGAACTAAACAGATACAAATCAAAAAATATTTATAAAAATAAAAAAACTGACTTCGTAAAAACGAGTTGTATCAAATTTTAATACCTACTACGCCGAGTGTTTGGAAAAAGTTCTAGTTGGTGCACCCAAACAATAATAAAATAATTTATCATTGGGTGGACATGTAAATGTCAATTCTTGTAAATAGATAGTTATGTCAATAAGATTTAAAAAATGAAGGTGCTTTGGTCTTCCCCCCACTGAACGTATCAGGTCTCACCATCGTCCAGTGTAGCCAACGTAGGGGTTTCCCCCCAAATTTAGAGGGGAAAAATGGCACCGGGGGGATTTTTAGGGGGGAAAATGTTTAGGGGTTTTTATAAGAGGGGAAAAAACATTAGAAGCGCTTTTTTTAGGGTTTTTACGAGTTAAATATAAATAACGATTCTTTTTATTTGTAAATAAAGTTATTTTTTTAAATAATTAACTTCACAAATATGTTATCTGCACATACTTATCTATGACATTTGTAAATTATTAAACATTTTGATGAGTTAATTATTTTAATTTTTGAATTATTTTAAAATAAATATGACTCTATCATTAGTGGTGAACCGCATAATGCCATAGCTGGTAACATTTCTGATTTTGTGCTGGTAACCAGTGTAGCTAACTTTGGGCTTCGCCCTAAATTTAGGGGTGAAAAGATTGCACCGGGGATTTTTAAGGGGCAAAAATATTTAGGGTCTTTGTTTAGGGTCTTATAAAGTTTCGGTTAAAGACTTCAAAAAATTACACTCATTTTTTATTATTTTCTAAGTTATCTATAGAATTGATTATTATTTCTAAATGGTTATATGTAATTATTATAACAATAACCATAAACAAGTTTTTTACGGTACTTGTAATCATTTAAAATAAAAAAATATATTAAAAAATAAAAAAGAGGGAGAGGTCTCTCCCGTGACCATGGATGCTGTAAAGCATTCGAAACGTCGGGAAACAAAAATGCTAATAAATCCGCGACAAAATCCGAAAAGATAGTTTTATTTAAAATAAAAAAAAGAGATAAAAAGTAAAAACCTATACTTTTCAAATTGTCACCTAGGGGGTTTTAGGGGTTTTTGAAATTACTTTTAGGGGGATAAAATTTCAACTGTTGGCAATACTGCTGTCGTCCGTCACCAGTCAATAGTCATTGTTGATTGTAAATTGCGAATTGTTGTCCACTGCTGTTGTTGTGACTTGTGCACCGATTAGGATTATTATGGATTCGCTGTGCTTACTACTTTATTGATTTTTTTAATCAAACTACTTATTTTTACTGGTAAAGTGGTATGTGTATGCTGATAGTTTTATTTATTAGTATATAGCTTAGTATTTGATTAATTAAAGAAATTTTTACATTCTTAAATCTTGTTATTTCGCTTCGTAAACTAGGTTGAATTTTTAAGCAAGATACATGTGCTATTGTTTGAAAACAACTTAAAGACAGGATAAATTCAATAAATAATTTTTTTTTAATATTAGGTAAGTGAAAAGAAATAAAAAAAAAAAGAAAAGAGAAAATGAAGAAATACGTAATAATGTATGGCAAAATGAAAATGCGAAATTAAAATATGTTTATACAATACATATTCCCGTGTAAACTATTGTATAGTCAGGAGTATTTTTAACAAAAATCTTCTTTCTTGTAATATTGGCTGTTTCACCTGAGTGCAGTAATTTATTTCAGTACCTGAAAAACTACAATATGGATCCAAGTAATATAATTGTGAATGATACTGTATCAGATCACTTATATCCAGCTCTATTTCAGTGTTTTACTATAATTATTTGTGGGTAAGTAAAATCCTTTAAATTAAAAAATAATCTTGTGAATGATAAGGTACTTATATTTTAAGTTTATTTTAGATATGTAGCTGGACGGCTGAATGTTGTCTCTAAATCAGAGTCAAAGGGTATATCCACATTTGTTGGTACATTTGCATTACCATCTCTAATTTTTCTATCCTTGGCTCGCTTGGACTTCAGTATGGTGAATTGGACATTCTTGTGTGCAATACTACTAGCAAAAGGACTAGTATTTTTTGCAGTTGTAATAGTAACTTTACTAGTTTCTAAACCAATGCATCTTGGACAGGCAGGAATATTTGCCATATTTTGCACACAAAGTAATGACTTTGCATTGGGGTTTCCTATAAGTAAGTTCATATCTTTTATATTTTTGGATATTATTGCTTTTAACTATTAACACAAATTACTTTGATGTATTGCAGTAAATGCTATTTATGAAAAGACTCATCCAGAATATGCTCTTTATCTATATTTGATGGCTCCTATTTCACTCGCTGTACTCAACCCAGTTGCATTTGTATTAATGGAAATCAATAAACAAAGAGAAAATCCACATTCAGTTAACAGTGGTCAGCGCCTCCATAAATTAAAGATGTTTCTACAACTATTACAAGGAATCATCTTCAATCCAGTTTTGGTTATGACCATTCTGGGTATACTTGGTAATATTGTTTTTAAACATCAACTGTCTGTTTACATTGAGGGTTTATTGGAAGTAAGTTTAGATTTTAATATTATATTATTGATTTTAATAACATAAATTATTATAATTTTTATTCATCAATATACATTCATTATACATTCATTATGTACATTTCAATAGTTCCTTATCAATAAATGATACAATCTGATGTTTCTGTATTTTGGAATATAATTAATATTGATATTTTAATTAAAATAGAGCACCTTATATATTTTAGGTGTTTGGTCAATCTTTCTCAGCTGCAGCACTGTTTTTGCTTGGATTACGTATGGTTGGTCAAATTACAAGACTTAGGGGCCCAGCACTTTTACTTCCATGTGTATTAATTATGGTGAAATTGTGAGTAACATTATAAGTGTATTATTGTGAGGTAGATGGGTAAATGATTATGTTTATAAATAAATGTAATGCTGTATATAATAGTCCTAGAAAGCAGGGCCTATATTGCAGTTTTTCTCTGAGCTATATTGATATGTAATTTAAGGTGTATTTGTTATAGGATTGTTTTGCCAGTTGTGATGAGAGAATTTGTCAGTGCATTGGATGCTGGTAATAATGTATCTGAAACGCAATCTTTATCTACATATGCCTTTTTGTATGGAACTATACCCACAGCACCTGCTGTGTTTGTGTTCTCGAATCTTTACAATCTTGAAATAGATTTGGTGAGTATTTTTATTTATGTTATAATTTATAAGTTAACACTTTGACACAAACTTTTACATTCTTGGGGAGTTGACAGTTGGAGAGTTAGTTCCACCTTTGGAACATTTTACAATAAACATACATTAAAGTATACTAACAATTTATGTCATAACAATACCATAAGAGATGTATCATAATGAATATTTTAAGTATAATTATAATGTTATGAGTTAAAATGATAAACTGAGTCATCCTGTGATCTCCACTGTGCATTTCTGATTAGGTATTATAATGACGTGATTTTTTCAATAACTTTTACTTCGAAATTAATAATTTCAAATAAAACTTGTTTCATTTATCATGAAGAGATCTAAAAATAGTAAACTTTTAACAACGCAATTTTTAAAACACCATAGTAGACCAGGATCGATAATTTTTGAAACCAAAAAAATAATAGTAGGTAGGTTTATTTCGATTTCTGGCAAAATTACAAGTCCTATGGAAAAAAGTTAAATGGAAAAGTTGTAGGTAATAAAAAAAATTGTATTTACACTTTTTTCACACAACCAAAATCCAAATTTATGTGAAAAAGTCAAATAAGCAAGTTTTTGTTTTTTTATTTTTCTTTTACAAAAAAATTTTTCCACGAAGTTTGGTGAACACTTACCTTTCTGTGTCCCAAACACACTGTACTTTTTTTTTGATTTAAAATATTTACTTTTTCACCTTATTTTGATATCGAAATTTTTTCTGAGAAAATTTACCATAGTAATGTTTTTCTTACACCATCAGAAAGTAGACATTTCAACGAACGAAAAGCCCGCTGACTTTTTTTTAAAAAGCAGATATTTAGATGGGAGAATTTTCGATTGAAAATTAGGGTGCTTTTTCGATATTAAGTCAAAATAAGTTGATTTTTTTTAAATCAGATTGAAATCAACCTAATGGTTTCCAAAATTGCACAGACACAGTAGATGTATAAAAAAATAAAGAGTGCGTATATCAATGTATACACGGCAGTCGGCACACGCGTAAGAAGTTAGACTTCTGTAGGTTAGAGGTACTTTTTATGAAATTCGATTTATGTTTTAAATAATTAGGATATGAGAGATACTTAAAAATATTAATTACGATTCAAAAATGAAAAAAATATTTTATTATTCACATAGTACAGATGGGGTTAAGATAAAATTTAATTTTAAATAAATCTAATATAAGTAATAATAATAAAATAAGTAATAAGAAAACAAAACTATATATACCTATTTTAAATGTATATAAAATTATTATGTCGCACCTAAAGAAGTTTAACTTCAATATATTATAATTAGTTTTTACACAAACAAAATAACCAGTTTGATATTTCCATATTATGTAAATACTAACCAGCTCATTATTTCAAAATAAAAATGAGTTTCAAAATTTCTGTTATAAAGGTGACAAGCTATTATTTTTGTTTTTGGCGAATATTAATGTGGAATTTAGGACCTATGCACACAGCACACGACAACTTTTAACGCGGCGACGACGCATGCTTATTAGGCCCTCAACTCTCAAGTTGGTGAGGACAATGGTCATAGAACAAAAAAAAACTAGTTCAAAAAATGTCAATACATGGCAGTATATGTAGTATGTATGTATAGATTTGTTAATAAAGCTTTTGCAAAATTAACAAAAGCTAATAAATAGATGCAAAAAAGTGTATAATGGTTAAAAATAATATTTTAAGTGAAGGAAAACGAAATAATGTGCTCGTAAATAAAATTTGCGTAATTTTACTGACTTTAAATAATTGGCTTTGTCGTGCATTTTTACAGATAGCGCTTTTACTTTTTATGAGTTACTAGCGACTCACTCTCGCGTCGCTTGCGTCCCTGGGCAGGTACGGTTTAAATAGATAAAAATAGTCATTGTACCTTAGGGTACATACTATCGACTCCTCTGTAGACCTTTTTAAGACCTGCTATTTTCTAGTGCATTGTTTTGATGTATCTAAGAGATAAGAAATAGAGGTTTATCCAGCGCTAGTCATGTCACAGATTTTTTAATAAAACACCGCCATAGTTACAAATAATATGATACCACCCTTCCTCGTTTATTGCTCATTCTATTAGTGAAAACTGTATCAAATCCGTTGTGTACTTTTCAAGAAGTAAGCGGTGAAACAGACAGGAGCAGGCAGTGACTTTGTTTTATACTATGTATAGGAACAGAAAGGCATAGGACTCCCCATTTTTTGAAATTTCATAATTTTCTCTTTATAAGTAAAACATATTACAAAATATAATATTTTTTCAAAATTTAATTATTATTTTTTATTAATAATTAATATTACACGTTCCTCGCGGCTCCGCCCGCACAATTTATAATGTCCCATGGACGATTTCGACCACGGCGACTAATCTTACTAAGATTATCCATAATTGCGCAAATATTATAGTACAGAAGTACTATATGCGCAGACATATATTTTTATAGCATGTGCGCTCTCTTTTCCTTTCATACAACACGACCCAGAAGAGATCAGGCGCAGGATAGACTTTACACTTTACAAGCTCTCCGAGGACCGGGGGTGTAATACCACGAACTTCCCAACTACAGGCTGTTACTGTAAATGTTTGACATACTAATACTTGACACTATCCGAAACTCGAACCTAGGACCTACAATTGTTTGTACATGCTAACCGCTAGGCATTCTACCTTCAATTCTAACAGAAACTTTTCCTTGCAAAATCTTTTTGTAAAGTAAGAATTTAAAATTATATAATTTTTATTTTATAGACCAGACAATATACATATACCTAATGTAGGTCTAATTAGTACTTATCTACTATAGAAATGTACAATCAACAATGGTATAAATTGCGTGATTGGAAATATGAATGAAGGCAGAAGAAATAAAAAAATAAGTGTTGCTTTGTTATCATATATATTTAATATTTAGTATATTAAACTTTTTTATAATCAGTAGATAAATGTTATATGTACTTGAACTTAAGCATTTACTTTTGAAATGTTACCGCATGTATAAGTAATGAATAAACTGCCGTAGTGGAATCTTTTTTGCAATGGATAATGCAGAGGCGGAGATTGTGGGTTCTGTTCTTGCTCAGAATGTTTAAATGCTTGATGGTAAAGTTAAGACCAACCATGACCGAAACGTAAAACTAATACTTTTCAACCGACTTCAAAAAGGAGGAGGTTCTCAATTCGACTGTATTCTTTTTTTTATGTTTGTTACCTTAGAACTTCGTCATTTATTAACCGATTTGGACAATTTTTGTTTTGTTTGAAAGGGTATACTTCCAGATTGGTCCCATTTAAATTTCAAAAAAAAAATACCACCCCTAAGGGTGGAAAAATAGCTAATAATGAATTTAACCTACTTCTAATTGTCATATTGACTTGAAACTTTGCAAGTGTTTCTATTTCCGTTGATAGTACAGTGGTTCGGTATTGTTGATCTGATCTGATGGTAAGGCCAGAAGGTGGATAGGTAGAACTCTTCAACGACTAATAGTAGATACTTTGAGTTTGGGCTTATTTTATTTGGTTTGACAAGCCTCACACTTTAGAATTCTTACTTTGCTACTACTGTCTACACTAAAAAGGGAAAAATAAAAACTTTTTAACAAAAAAATAAAAACCGACTTCAAACAAAAGCACTAAAAAGTAAAAAATAACTGATTGGTAGTTTTCATTTACTATACTCGTACATCTTCATTTACTAATCAAATATTTTCGAAGTCGGTGTGATTTTTTTGTTAAAAAGTTTTTATTTATTTGCGGTATGATAAGTGACGACGTCGCGTCGTAATGTTAGTTTCACGCGAAGAAGCCTTACGTTTTAAACTAAACTCTTTACGACGCATCTAATGTTTCTTCTAGCCAATACCTAAGTTTTAAACAAGCAAAACCAGTTAGTAGACTTAGCTATTTAGAATTCTATACCTATAACCAGTTTTGCTACATATTATTATACTAGATATTTTCGAAAATATTTCAAAATTTAAATTAGATCTGGATTTTGATAACATATGATTATGACGGACGTTTGCGACTTCTTTCTGAGCATAAGCTGCTGTTTTAGGCATATACTCATTTTATTTTATTAATTATAGGATACTAGACCTAGACCTTACAGAAGCCGCGGCTTCGCTCGCGCTAAACTAAACTATAAAAACTAACTATAAAAAAACTAAAAAAGGTAGGTTTATTACACACTTTCATCTCATATTTTACCCTCTTCTGGGATGAATTTCGAAAAATGCTAAAACACGTATTTATTTAATTGTATTGAAGAGCATTAATACCAAGTTTCAAGTAATTCTGATCATAAATATTTTTTTGGGCTTGTATTATAACGTGTAGATAGACACAAATTGGCGCCTAGGATCCGCCATTGTGATTTTAATGATACACCCTGGTTCCCTGTGACTTTCGCGTTATTAAGAGGAATCGAATGTTGTAAGAATTATCAAAATCGGGTAAGCATAGTAGTTACGAGGGAACATAGGATCGGACATACGTTTATTTATTTGTTTTATTTATTTAGGTACAGAAACAGAAAACAAATTAAAGAAAATTACATCTACGTATTAAAAACTAAAAAACTCAGACCACTAAAAAAGTATTTATTGGTCTGAGCTAAAAAACATCATTTGAAATTGGTTGTCCAATTATATCTGTACACAACATTCAAATAAAAAACATTTTATATGTAATTATACAAACAAACTTAACCAAAATTGAAAATTACAGTAGGAGTAGGAATGTGCCTTGAAAGTTACATAAAAATATTAAAAAACAAAAAGAAAATAATATTTACATTTTATGTAAAAAAGACAAAGAAAAAAAAAGAAAACGGAGAAGAAACAGACAAAACATATCCTTATTATCGAACATGTAAAAGAACAAAATTAGGAACTATAATTTTTTTTTTATTGAATGATAAAAAACTATTATTAAAAAATCTGTATTCATTATTTAAACTTTTGTATATTTTACACATTCTGTGTAAAGGGTTGTTTTAGGAAATATTATTAGTTGCCGAAGGTATAATAAAAAGTTGTGGCTGACGATCGGGTGAGTATGAATTTTAAATTCCAGTTTTTCTAACAATTTGCTGTTAAAATCGCCATTGGCTATTTATTGGAGGATACACAAATCTGATATAACACGGCGATATTCCAGGCTTTTGAGTTTGTATTTATGAAGTCTGTCAGTACAAGTCGGTAACTCACGCCTGAGACCTTGCCGCCTGCTTAATATTTTTAAAAATTTACGTTGTATAGTCTCGATTCTGTTAATATGAATGTCGTAGATTGGTTTCCATATGGAAGAGCAGTATTCAAGTATGCTTCTTACCATCGTGACATACAAAACTATCCACGAGTTTGAATATTTGAAAGGCTGGGCAGTTCGGATGATAAAACCGAGTGATCTGTTTGCTCTACTTGTAATATAATCGAGATGAGGCCTAAAAGATATCGTTGAATCAAATATAACACCTAGATCCCGTACTACTTTGACTCTATTGATAATAGAAGGTACCTGCTATGTTGTAGTCGAATGATTTGGAGCTTTATTTTTGTAAATTAAATGACATAATATTTATTTTATTAAGCTCTATGAAATTTTCATCACACCACATTCGGATAGAGTCGAGATCATGCTGATTTTACAACCTCATTTTTTTAGTGACTTGGCGATAGATTTACATACAGGTCAACACATAAACCTCCTTTGGGCTTCGCCGCAGCCGGTTAAAAAGATTTTTGAAAATATATTCCCTATTATGGGATGAAAGTGCCCATGAATGGATGTTCGATATTTTCAAAATTAAAGATGGAAGTTGATTCAAATATATGTACCTACCTATAGCACGATATATCTAGCATTTTAAAAATTCAAATGGATTATTTGATACTATTATCTCTAAAACCTGTTTTACATCTTCTATCGGTACAAAATGTATTATAATTAATAATGTAATTAATAACCTTGCTTGTCTATCTCTCAAGTTTTACTCTAGTTATAAAATTGATCTAAATTACACTCATTTGCAATATTTTCTTTTAAGGCACGATAAAAGATAAAAAACCATGCAAACGATGAAAATAGCGGCGACCTGCTGTTGCTAATAATATTTCTTAGAAAACCTGTCGGAGACATTAAAAATAATCGATATGATATTTGAAAAATAATAAAAGTGGCAAAGTGTGTATATATCCGGAACCGTACATTTTATCGGGATAAAAAAGGGCTTATATGTTATTCAGATATATTATGTATATTAATATTATAAATGTGAAAGTTTGTCAGTATGGATGTATCCAGATATTTGTTAGTCTTTCACGCCAGAGCAGCTGAACGCGAAATTTGGCACAGAGATAGATTATAGTCTGGAATAAAACATAGACTTACTTTTTATTATTTTTACGCATACTTTTTATCCCTGAAAAATATACAGTTCTCGAGGGATCAATACAGTTGTTTTTGCGTGAAAGAGAAACAAAAATCCATACATCTACATATACATCCAGACATCCATACATCCTCACAAACTTTCGTATTTATAATATTAGTAGGATATATATAGTTTTATAGTTGTCTTCTTATCAGTATTAACATACTACTTACCACGAGAACTTTTAAAAAATACTTTACGGTAATTCGGGTCTGAAACTAGGCCTTAACTAAATCTTTATCCAAATTAACATAAAATAGAAAAATGGAGCAATTGAGTCTTATTCGCACACTCAAAAACTATTTAGAGTATCTTCTTCATAATAATTTTCGTTCACAATATTTGGAAGCTCTAATTATAATATATCATTTTTTTAGAATTTCCACCCCCATTAGAATGAGTTTAATCTAAAACTCCTAAATTAATTTTAAATTAATAGTTTTGGTGTTTATTGTGTTATAAATTATAATACATTATTAATGTTATATATTAATGTTGTATAGATTAACATTTCGTTGTTTTAGATGGCCTCGTCAATGGTGATATGCACTTTCGTATCAGCACCCATAACGTTCTTGTCAGCTGAAGTTATATCTATTAACCAGGACTTTGCAGATCAAATTAAGAAGTTTGGATTCGAACTCTCCATAGTTGCTTTGATAGCAGGTTTATGGGTGTTCCTCGTCTTTACTGTAACCAGGAAGTTTAAGAGAATACCACATAAATTAACCCTATGCCTCAATATTTCTCAGGTATGCTATACTTTTGTTAACTCGTGTAGGCCGAAGGATTCCTAGCATAAAGCCGAATAATATCTGCCATAATAAAACTGTAGGTATTAGATCATATTAGACACAAAAATATTAATATTCTTACTAGATTTTTTTGCCAGATTCTTTGGAGCTAAATACTTGTTAATGTATACAACGAATATTTTATCATTTTTTGCTTTAAATAAGTCATTAATTTAAACCTTCCCTTGAACCTTCGGTAAGATATACCTATTATATCGGAAAAATGTTGCTTAAATGCGGGTGTAGATCACGTAGTGCTATAAAAATGTAACTAACAAAAAATTTCCTTTCAGATTTTATTAGCTTCTAGTGTGATTTGGGGTGGGCCACTAAATAACTATCCACCGTCTTTAGAGTTAACCCTTCAACAAGCTTTGCAAATATTTAGCACTTATTCCTGTTTCCTTTGGACCTCTATGCTGACCATTGGCTTACTAATGTTAGAAGTAAGTTAAGTTAGTTTGAAAAATCATATTAATTAATAAATTGTAATATAAATGCATAACGACCTTAGCACACTTTCTATTAACTAGAAACTTATAAAAGGGTATAATAAGATAGACTTCTATTGGTTAGATGTTAAAGTTAAGATTAGATATCTTCTTTTTTAATATTATTTCTTAAATTATTGTTGAGTAATATGATTGATAAAGTCGATGTAAATTTGAATCTGCTACTACTCTATAATTACTGAATCGGCTTTAATTATAATTATTTAATTGATACATAGCTTAATTACCCCAGAGTGTTACATATCCTGTGGGTTTTAAGAAAATTGTAGTGTGTTTTTTAGCCGAGCGTTTCTATTTTATTATGACACTAGCGGATTTGTAGGTAGACGCTGTTCTGCCACAGACCGGATTTGGTCGGAAAATAGAATCTGGATCTTGACAACAACGTCATCTATCTGTGTTCAACCATAGCTAAGAACCATCAATAAGCAAACAAAAAATCGGTTCAGCCTTTTAGGAGACACACGAACACGGGATATTTATATATTTAGAGATAACTAGCGACTCACCGTCGCTTCGTGGGTGATTCTTTAAATTGATATAACTTTTTAACCGATGGAAATAAAACAAATACTAAGTGTTAAATGAAGATTACTACAATAAATTAGTGAAAACCGCACCCAAATCGGTTAAGACGTATCTAAGTTTAGGGCGCACGAACGCACAGACAAACAGACAAAAATTCAAAAAACTTTTTGAGTTTTATTGCGTTAATAGACACCCCAAAATAATAGTTCTTTTTTTCAAATAAGTGCCATGTACAGACAGCGATCAGTTACATTTTATTAAAGCTACATATATTTACAATTTTATTAGCCATCGCCAGCCATGTAAATTATTTTTTTTTTCGTGGATTTTCGATGTCTTTTGGGGCAGAGACCCGAGACAAATCCAACAAATCAAAGATCATTAAAATCGGTCCAGTCGTTCATGAGTTATAAATGGTGTAACTAACCCGATTTTGTTTTATATATATATATATATATATATATATATATATATATATATATAGATTTAATAAACTTTATAATACTAGAGTCGGGGTCCGTGTTTTGTAACGACACTGTGGCCGGTGTTATGTTTCGTGGCGTGGGGCGCTCCGGCGGTGATGGTGGGCGTGCTCCTGGCTACTAAGACCTCTGGCTACATCAACACCGACGCCTCCGATGCGATACGACTAAGTGTACTCTTCTTTTGTATAACATGTAAGTTCTTCGAATTGAATAATTGTGTTCTAATAAGTTATTTCGTCTAGAATACTATTTCCAATAACTATGCCAAATAAATTAGAACGTGCCAAGACATTATGAATATGAGATATTCCAGGTCCTACGGAAAAAATGTCAAGTGAGTCTGGTTCCCTGCCTAAAAAGCACGCAGCTCGTTGAATTCAATTTAATTTGTCTTATTAGCAACAAGAAATATAGGCGAATGTGGTATAGGTTCCTTTTTGTCCCAAAGCGTAGTGTTTTGTAACATAAAAGACTAGAAGATTAGATGAACTGATTTTAAATAGATTCTCACTGACACGTAGACAATTCAGGTGCTACTGCATAGCTTACTTTTGTCCCGGAATCTGGGAAGGGTTTTTATGAGGCAGACTTAAGGAGCTGTTTGTTATTATAGGAGAATATATTGATTGATAGGATTTAATTTAGTATTATGCGGTTAATTTTACTGTTTAATTACCAAAACATTGTATATGATGCAATTAACACCCAGACAAATGTGTTCATTACGTAGTGAATACATAAAGTTATTGTCGAATCTTGTCCGCTATTTATTTGACCTAACACTATCGTCTATGAGCGTTAACGAAAGCGTGTTGAATATTTAAATATATAGGTATTTTTCAAATATATATTTATTTAATCTAGTTTTGATTAATGTACTATTATGTAATATACCGTTTACTAATATACTTACCGGTTTTAAATATACTTTAGGCAACATTTTTGTATTAAATTATCGTTACATAAATGACCTAACTCTTGGGTTGGCCAATATTTTTAAAGGCAGTATTAGTCCAGTGGCAACGCTCTCGTTTGGAAAGTCTAGTGGAGCGGGTTCAAATTCCGGATTTGTCTCCGGGTCTTTAATAGTGAAAGAAACCTAGCAACTTTTCGAAAGTCATGTGAAATTCGCCAACATACACTTGGCCAGCAGCCATTCAGCAGAAGTGAGGCCCGTGCCGAGCAGTGAGGCATTAAAGAGGACTGATTACAATATTTATAAACAATACTTACATATATTATGTATGTTACGATATCAATCCTACCAAATAATAAACAACAAAACTCAAACTCAAACTTGGCACACCTATCATATATCTAATCCGTGCTCAATGATCAATCATCTCAATATAAATATTATTTTAGTGCTGAATTGGATATGTAGCATTACCCGCATAAGTTAAATATTGATTTTTATTTTAAAACGACTTCCAAAAAGGAGGAGGTTCTAAATTCGTCAGAATCTTTTGTCATATAAAATCCGATATTCCACATTATCTAATTTATATTGTATCTCCTTTAGTGACTACAGGATGCCTCATCCTGTACGTTAGGTTCCGTAGACGCAGTGCGCAATTTGCGCAACTATCGGAAGAGATAGCCCACACCTCCCCCCAAGACGAATCTTCCAGCCTCGTCGAAAACGCCGAACCGACTTCACAAACGCAGAGCTTATCTAATTTTGGTGAGTGTTGTTAAAGAGTAATTGGAAATGTTTGCTGTTTATATAATGTTAAGTTATTATATTTATGTTGTGGCAGCATGAAGGAATGCTTAGGTTATTTTAGATTGTTGGGATTGTGAGTTAGAAATATTATTTTAGCAGATAGTAACCGCGGATCAAAAAATCTAATAAATACTTAAATGTATGAAATATATTTTTTCTCTGTTGTCTACAAACAGTAAGTATAAACATGTACCTATAGATATGCGCAGAAAAACAGTTTTTTTATATCGTATAAAGTTTCATTGAAATCTGTCCAATACTTCCTGGGAGACATTTGCATAAAAATATAGATTTGCTTCAGGAAATATTTTATTCAAAACAGTCGAGTCCCCAATAATTTTATTGTTTAATATACCTTAGTTACTATATAAGACTACCTGAGATGGTCTTTTCAATTATCTATGTTCACGATTTTCTAGAGCTACAATTGACATTCTTTGAATATTAATCGTTTTTTTCATACCGTTAAGCGATTGCCAATATTTTGACGATATTGGCAACAAATAGGTAATTTACGTAAATGTTGCCAATCGCAATTGACAGTCTCGCTCTTGTGTATCCCTTATATGTATAGTTTACTTTGCCGACACTGTAATAGAAAATATTAGAATACTAGCAGTACCCGCGGCTTCGCTCGCGCTAAAACTACAAAAAAATCTCTAAAAAGGTAGGTAGGTACCTAGGTTTCATACAAAATTTCAGCCCTTATTACTCCCCCATCCTAAGATGAATATCGAAAAATGCTAAAACACGTATTTATTTATTTGTATGAAGAGCATTAATATCAAGTTTCAAGTAATTCTGATCAGAAATAAATTTTTGGATTGTATTATAACGTGTTTTCCCGTGGGAATGAGATGATCTCCCACGGTAAAAAGGTAGCCTATGTCGCTCTTTAGCTCTTCAACTATCTTCACACCAAAAATCTCGCCAATCCGTCATTCCATTTCGACGTGAAAGAAAGAAACAAACACACATTCACATTTATAATATTAGTATGGATATGATATTACATAGTAGAAGTTTATTAGATTTGCTATTTATGTAGAAGAAATTAGTGATATGAAATTATTTAAATGATAATATATCTACTCGTATAACCTGCATGTATATACTTACATTCTAATCTATGTACTAAACCCTGCATCATGTATGTATTTTTATCTTAATCTTTTACTCTATGAAAACGTGCATATATGTATAAGGAAGTAATTGTTTATATGTATTTATGTTTTATTTTAAAGCAGTTTTTTTGTTCTATAGGATTAGAGGATCCAGGTAAGTGAAAGGACGCAAATATATATTTAAATAATATTAAATTATTAACTTTAAAGTCTTGAATATTTTAAATAGTCTATTAAGAAATCACAAAATGTAATTGGACTTTTTTTACATATTTACATATATGAAATTAATATAATATATTAAGGTGTACGAATATATGAAAATTAAAATACTAATAAATTAAAAACATAAAATATAAGGGGGTGGTTGTCGATAAATGAAAACTTTAATTTATCTTTTACATATTGTACAGGTTGTTATGGAACTATAACGACGACACCTTCGCCTAACAGAAACGGAAACTGTTGTTCAAACGACCCGAACTGCAACAATGGACTGGCCACTAGTCCGTCTCGGGATATCGAAGATATGGTCAACAATGAAAGGTATTGTAGCTAACTAATAACCTTCGTCTTAAATTATAATTATTAAATAATGATAAGAAAATAGTGCTTTCTATTGTCGATTACGTGACAAGTTCTGTATACTACATAATATTTAATTTAAAAAGAAACTACATATACGAGTTATTAATAAAACTTAATAAAATGAGAAATAATAGTTTCTACGTGATTGAGATATGATATCACCAAAGAATGTCTGAACTGATTGGGTTGAGAATATTACAGATAATAGTCCAAATTAAAAAGATAACTAGTGGTTAAAGATATATGTATAAGATTCTATTCCGATTTACAAACAAGCGGATGGAGTATTTCGCATTCGGTATTGGCAGTAGCTAGTTATTTCATAAACATACAGGGTAGCAATTTTATTCTCTAAAGTAATTCATATTTTAATATTTACTCGCATATTTTAGTTAACCGTTTCTAACATTCTGCTAGTACCACACATACTCGTAATATAACATTTTCCTATCATTTTCCTTCCTCCTACTGTACATTTAACGTGATAATAGTCGTTATGCTGATATTGTTGCGTTTCATTCAATGAGAGCATGAAACGTCGGAGGCGCAGTCATGCCTCCCCATTCAATCTTTACGTGGTAATACTTGAGTAAAGCTTCTGGTATTACCCGCATAATATTATATTGTCAACTTACAATTTCTGGAAGGAACAACAGTGTGATTAGTGAATTTTGTCGAGTTATAACATTATTGTCTTACAATATTGTTCCTTGCAACTGTATATAGACTGCAGATAATCCTTACCATAAGGCAGATCTCTAGTAGCATATCACTTCTGAATCTAAAAAAATTAAAGAGTGCGTGTATGAATGTGTACGCGCAAGAAGTAAAACTTCTTTAGATTATCGGTACTCTTTATGAAATTCAATTTATCTTTTAAATAGTTAAGATAGATGAGATACTAAAAATAACGCATATTGGGCATATTACAATCATATACATATTTATAGAATATCATTTAAGAACATAATATAATATCATTTGTCAGACAATAACAACGGCTACCATGGCAACAAACGTTCGCCTCGCCCGGTTTACACTTTTCGTCACGCATTCACCAGCTTACCCCTCAAGTCAAGCGTGCGTAAAGAAGTTTTACTTCAAAAAACTACAGATTCCAAAAAACATTTACAGAGACTGCGCATGTCCTCCATCACAGAATGTCAAATGTAACAACACAGACGGCACCTGCCCCTACTTAAACGAACTGGACCGCGCGGCCGGCCGCCTCGGGCTGTTGCCCCCGGAGCAGAGCAGGGGTCGCGGAGGGCAATTACTGAAACATACTGTGTTGATTATTGCATACAGTCTTGCTATGTTTTTGGTAAGTCTATATTTATCTATAAGTTCATGTAATAAATTATGGTCATAAAGCTTAAAAAGTCAAAGTCAAAGAGAATTAAATGAGCCTAAACTTAAAGCTTCCTAGTAGTCATAAGACTAACATTAGAAACCTTAGAGCTTATAAGTAACTGTAGTGTTGAATAACACACAATTGACAATTTATCACGTCTTATAAAATTATTTAAATCACATGAATGACGAATCTCATAAACTACACGTCTTTTGTCATCCAAGAGTTTCTAGGCTATGGTGCTTAAGAAATAGATAACTTAGCTAAGCAGTTCTAAGATTCTAAAGGGGATTTTAAACACTACAGTAAATCAGTCACTGACAGACAACACTATCGCTAGTTTCAGAACAAAAAGTGTTTGTTAAAAACCTGAGAGTGGTGTCGTTATCAATAAATGATAATAACCAATTTAAAGGAAACTATCTTGGGTTTTTTTCGAAGTTTTATTTTATATTTTTGTTCCCAATGTTTCAAATGCTTTACTGCAAATATGGTCACTGGAAAAAACTACGAAAAAATCCCAAAAGGTAGTTTCATTTAAAATGTCAAATATTCGCGTAAATCTAAGAAAGTATGATGTTAACAACTTAATCTTCTTCCATAGGATTTGACTTATATGGCTTGGAAGATTTTACGTAAAGATCAAGCTGGGGTGTTTATAGAAATACAGTTTCTAGACACGGCCGCCAGCTGCGGACAGACTTTGATCATGTTTATTCTATTTGGACTCGATCCTGATGAAATAATTATACCTGCGATTAGATATTTCAAGAATAAATGGTACGTAAATATTTTTTTACAGATATCCATATATTTGTTTTGCATAATTTCTAAAGCAGGAAAGTGATATTTTAATTATTATATATATAATATGCAAAAATACTTAATGATTGATTATAATATATATTTTTTTGTTGAAGTGGCGAACAATGACTAAGTCATAGTAATATTAATCAAATGATCTACGATAAATGGATTATTCTGTAAGTGCAAAATATTAACATATCCACAGTGTGTGCACTAATTTTTTTTATTTTAATTTTTGGTTAATATATTATTATATTTTAATCTTCACGCACTTTTCCTTACGTTTGAATAGTGAAGATATTGTTTCTCTCTCGTCTGTTTTTCGCTAGTTTCTTGATATCAGGTAATTTTATGTTTTGCCTTAACCAGACCGGAACAAAATGATGAGATTTCGTGTGGTGAATTCATACATTTACTACGCACATTTCAAGATGTGGTCAATGTTTCCTTTTATAAAAATCGACATCGCTATGACGGTCTATTTTTTTTGTATTATGTTCTTGTATTTATTATTTGTAAAGCTAATTGATTTTTATAAATAAAATCGATTTTATAACTGTGTAATAAGTAAAATTTTACAATTTTTTTATTTAATACCGACTTCCAAAAGGGAGGAGGTTCTCAATTCGTCGTAATTTTTTTTTAATCTTTAAATAAAACCACCTTCGAAGTATTTATATTTAAAAAAGACAAAACTAGTATGTCATGAAATACATATCATCAAATAGCACAGAAAACAAACTACAACTAGAGAAACATAAGAATCACCTCATGTTTTTGAAATCGGTTCAAAATAACTTAATTCGATTAAAAATAAATTTCACTTTATACAAAAAACATGCATAAATAATTGAGGAAGTGTCTGATTTTTGTTTGTTTTTAATTATAGGCATGGAACGGACACATTGGTGTTGCCACCAATAGATGATTTAAGTTTCGAAACGAAGCACGTGTGTGACCAGTTTATTACGCATCATCTCGAACGATGCAAGGCGGCTATAGCTAAAGATACCAGGTAATAAATATTGGGAAAATAAACGGTTCTCGTGGGATAGACTTTTTTGTTTTTTTGTTGTTGTTTTGTTTGTAATTAAATTATTCGTTATCTATAGGAGCATTATGGTAAAGATGTCAGCGTTAGCGTACATATTTGTATCAAAATATTTTGAAATAAGGTTATCATGTTTATTTATTACTAGCGACTTACGCTGATTACAGTCACAATTTCATGGGTTTTAATTTTTTTGCGCGGAACCCTGACTCTTTTTCCAAAATAAAAGTAGCCTAAGTTACTCTTTACAACATCAGTAATCTGTCAGTGACAGTCTCGTCAAAATCGGTCCAGCCATTCCGGAGATTAGCCAAGACAAACAGACGGACAGAAAAAATATATATAAATTGTTGTTTTGTTATAAATATCGTATATGCTATTGTTTTTATTACAGACATTTCAATTTATTTATCTGTATAAATCAGTCTCGCAATCGGCCCTTTTTGGACGTCCCCATGCTGGGCGCGGGCATCTCAGTATGAGGGGGATTAGGCCATAGCCCACCCGCTGGCCGAGTGCAGATTAATGGCGGACTGAATAAGTATTTCGAAAACCTACTAGGTTCTCTCAAAAATGCGTGTTTCCTCACGATGTTTTCGTTCACCGTAAGATAAGTGGTAGTCATGTCGGAAACGATTCGCACAAGGAAATATCAGAGGTGCGAGACCCGGGATCGGAACCCGCTTCAAAGTCTTAATGTCCCAATATGTTCATATTTATTAATTGAAAATTGAAATCGATCTACTATCGCGTACCAGATGGCGCATGCGCACGTACCGCGCGTCGTTCCGCGGCGCGAGCCTCGTGCGCTGGCTGGTGCAGTGCGGGCTGGCGGCCGACGCGCACGAGGCGGTGGCGTACGCGCGCCACTTGCTCGACGGCCGCCTCATCGCGCACGTCAACAACGCGCACCACTTCACCGACTCGCCGCTGCTCTACACGTTCAAATAGTGGCTACGTCACTTTGATTTACCTGCGAGTAGCGATGTTGTAACTCGATGTTTAATGTTTTACGTGCTTTTGAAGTGAAAAGTTCTATAGGCAGGTTTGGATGGGGAGTAAATTGAGGTCACGTGACGTGTTAACGCTCAAGAGTGCCGATAGATGTCAAAACCAGATAAATGTAAACAGTTTTAATTTACAAATTTCAATTTAAGATCAAACAATTAATTTGAATACCCAAAAGTAACAACTGGTTTTTTTATAGTTTTAAGTTTAAAAAAAATGAAAAAAAAAACAAGTTTCATTTAAAATGACAAATTTTCACGTAAATCTAAGATAAATTTAAAATGACTATTTAATGATTTTTTTATATAATACGATAATTCTAAATACTGAGTTACAACATTGTTCTTTGCATGTTTTGACTTTTATGTGCCATTATATTACAGTAACGGTACGAATCGTGAGCATACACTCGTAGTGACAACAAATAAAGTTTAAGGATCACGGTTCGTTTGGTTTTGAAAACAATACTCGTATCCCAACCGTAGCGCTCTAAAAATTTTCACAAGTAACTCTGCAGATGTCAATATTACTATCAAAACAACACGAATGTTTGACAAACCTACTTACGCTCTGTAAAAAAGCACAGTTATATTACGTAAAATAAGAACTTTATTGTCATCCCAAAACGATAATGAATTTTGAATTATTCGTACTAGATCGTATTGAAATATTTGTTCTTTGTTTTTGAATATCTAATGGCAGTCTTAGTATTATGAGTATATGTCCGGAATTGTATTTGACAACCCACGTGATTAGTTGATTAGTGAATGTACTTTGTCTATCTTACCGAAATATTTAATGAAAATTATTTATTAACGTTATTTCTATTTTATATTTATTTCGTGAATAATTAGAGATAAAAAATAGCAGCCATCAAAAGTGAAATAATAAGATACTTAATGTACTTAAATTATTTTATGATACTAAAAAAATATTGTTATAATACGAGAGGAAACTCTCGTATTATATAATTTTTTTTTCTATAATACCTTAGACTAAAAGAATAAGATAGAACTCGCAGTAGTCTTTAAATGATGGGTCTGAAATAATATAACTGATAATAATTCTATTTCTCACTCTTGTGTTTGTCATGTAGATGTACCGCAATGGAGAGCGTATGGGCAATTAAAAGAAACAATATCCTAATCAATTCAATTTTCTTGTTAATGGCTTCAAAAAATCCGTCTAGCTTACTCTTTTAGTATAAGTTCCAATAAAACTCGAAATTAAACATTTTTATAATGTAATTTAAGCTTTAAACTACCTTCGAAAACATAAATTCTCACATCTCTCTAACTTAAAGCTACTAAAAAGTAATAAATATACCTACGAGTATTGATGAAATGTAAAACGTCTGGGTAACTTATAGTCTAGTCAACAAGTTGAAAAACATTAGGTAATAACACTCCATGCTCATCTAGAAGGTCTCAACGAAGTGGTATAATTTGGTGAGCTTTTGTTTAGCAATTATCTAGCTTGAAATGTAAATGAGAGTTAAAAAAAAGTTAATTAACAACAGGTTATTTTAATAAAAAATTCACAAAAAAAAATCCGACGGAATTTTTTCTTTGAAGTGTCTAGTTTTTTCAAATTTTTACATTTAATTTTATGATTAGCGGCCGGTTTCAAGGAAGCGTCGGCACTGCGCTAGCCGCCGCGCGGAACCCTATTTTTAACACTAAATAAAAATTATTGATAATGGAAGTCAAGCTTCGGGAGCCGATATATTTTTTTCGGAAATTTCCTCTTTAAGAATCTGTTTTTAAAATTTCCCTAGCACCAATAGTTTTTGATTATTTTGCAAAAAAACAGACCCTTTTGAATCTTTAATTATTTATAACTTTTGCAATATTTTATGTGCGGGTTTGATATTTTTGCACATTTTTCTATACGTCATAATGAATCCAACGAGATATCGCAAATATTTTAATTCGCAGTAGCAATAATTGACAGGTTCTTCAACTCGTTGAGTAGATTATTAAAGTTGCTAACATATCTGTAAGTGGGTATTGTTAGTTTTTGTTTACAAAAATTAAAGTTTATGCACAAAGAATTTTAATAAATAACTAGTTTACTGTGGCACTTGCACTTTAAATTAAAAATATGTTATCAGTGTGATACTTTCATTATTTATAATTTTAATATTTTGAAGAATTTATTATAGCTCTATTAGTTTATTTCTGTGCTATAAATATGCAATTATTTCTAAAAGAAGTAATATGATATGCAGTATATATTCTTTTCTCTGCACATCAAATAAAAGTAGTACCACGAAAATTCACAATTAAAGACATAAGTCCAAGCGATAGATCTATAAAATAGAAAATAAACACACACAGACTATTAATACACCAGATATTTTTAAATTTAATTATAAATGTCATACTTTTTTAGTCTCGAGTTTTTTAATGGTTGTTTTTTGTTTTAATTTTTTCACCTCTGGAAGTCCCTGCATTTACATATATTTTTAGTTTAAACTAAGAATACTAGTAGTTTGCTAAGTCTTAAGACATTTTTACAGGTTTGTAAATTGTGAATTGCTTATATATATTTTTAAAATAAAATAATATTTTTTGCGTATTTTAGATATACATAATCGTAAATGTAGGATTAACAAGCCGTATTGTACCGTCATGTCTCTCGTAAACGAATGGGTCTAACCTTGCACAAATTATTATTAGACAAAGTATTGAATATAAATTGCACTAAATTTGTAGGATTTATAATATTTTTATACTACATTATTCATCATCATACATACTGCATCACTAAAACTTTATGAGTAACACAAATAAGGAACCTATTTTTAAAACATATCTTCTTCAAATGACCAACTGTGCATGTGGTAGAATCATTGACAGCAACCATATTTACATTGATGTATATGATTGATTCATATAAATGAAATCGTAAAGACATTTGGTACAACGCTTTTAGGTGATTTGTTCTAGTTTTTTAATCAATATTATTGTAGTTAATATATTGACGTATATAACATGACACGTTAAATGTAGAAACAACATGCTTAGCTTTTACTGTCATGATCAAATCATTGATCTCAGATGTGGTGACTACTGTATTTCTAAGTAATTGTTTTGTAGTAGGGAAGCCCAATAGGGGATTTTGGGATTTACAAGCGCCGTAGATTAACATAAGATAATAAACCTTGCACTCTGTCGAGTACCTCCACCATATATAAGTCCTCTGTTTATGGCGCGCGTCTAGGGCAGCCGATCAGAACCATAATAAATAATATTTTAATAAGTTGGAAATGCTTGAAACCGTCGTATTAAGGTGGTGTGGTGGTCTAAACTAATATTAATCTGCTGCACTTGAGTAATATTAAAATTCCCTCTTGGGCTCCCTTACTATTACATTATCCTTTGTCAAAAATACTAATGTGTGGTGAATCTGTTATAGTTTAAAATATATATGTAAGGTTTTTATTTAAATCTGAAATTAATTTAAATATGATTATTTTGGCACGGTTTACATATTTTATTATATGTGATATAAAATGGCTGTTTTTTGTTATTGTTTCGTATAATGTGTATTCTAGTATTTACTATTGTATTGCCTATATATTCATAAGGATATATCCAATATTATTGTTATCATATTGTAAATGATATAATATTATTACTGTTGCAAATCTTTACAGGTGTTGTTATTTACATTATTCCCTTTTAATTTTAAATCCTACGTGAATCTGCAGAGGCCTTGTTGGTATTACTTTATGAGTTGAAACTTGTTCTTTTTGGCTTTTGCACATTTAACATTTCACAGGAGCAAAGACAAGTCAAATAATTTACATAGTAACAATTTTAATAGAAAAGATACATTTAATAGAGTAGATGAATTTTATGGTAAAATACCCATTTTTATAAATTTTATAGTGTCTTGAAAGAAAACTTAAGTACTATCAAGGATGGGGTTTGAAAAGAGATTAACTTCTAAGTCATCATCAAGGCTTTATTCTCATAGGTAATATCCTTGTGTAATAAATTTGAACAAAGATTTTAAAATGTTTTAACAAATTATTTCATGAGTATATTTTATGACAATTTACAAATAATATATTAATATTATACATATTTTTATAGACACAATATAAATTTTGTAACTGTTTCTATTTTTTGATTGATCAGTACCTAATTTAACAATTTCAAATTTCTGAATAAGACATTAAATTAGAGAAAAATGAACTTAACAGTTGCTCTTTTATTTATTTAAATAAAAATATGTACAAAGTTTTTCACAAAAATATATGTTTAAGTTCAATTTTTTGTTTCATTCATCATTATCTTGTTCTTCATTGTCTTCTTCATCTTCATCTTGCTCAGGAGTTTCCCACCATGTTAAAAGACCAAGGCCAGGTTCATTGATGCCACCTATGAGTCTGTATGGTGCTGTCGTTTGTACTGGGCATTCAGTGCCTGGTGGACCACTTGGTAAGCTTTCTTCAAATATCGCACTTGTAACTCGAAATCTTATGGATTCACCTAAAAAGTTAAGAAACTATATATTTTTTACCAAACCAAACCTTTTTACCAATTACATATGTAAGTGTCAATTTAGCTTTTGAGCTATTCCTACAAATAAAATTAAATCCTAGAATTAAGAAAAGAAAAAATTGTGTTTCTATTTATAGTATAATGATGAAGTGTTTCGATTGCTTAATTTTTATGTAGTTTTTACTACCTGAGTCCATGAACAAATCATGTTTTTCTCCATCTTCTTTGGGATATTCCCAAACCCAAGCTTGATCAGTTTCATCAAATCTAGATGGATGTTGAAGTGCATTGACTGGTATTAATATGTCATCAAAAAATCCCATAGTTACTGGAAATCAATTTCTTATTAGTTAAACTTTAAAAGTATAATTTATTTTCAATTTTTAGGTATGTGAATATATACAGCTTACCATGCACTCCTTCTCTACTACAACTTCTTATTTTTCCTATGAGAATTTCTTCTACTAATGGTCTAAATATTATATATCGAAATTTGACTTCTGTATGTGATGAACCATCGCCAGGGAATATATATGAATGGCCAATGTGGGTGATATCAAATAGTGCTATACATAAACCTACATTTAAAACTACCTATAACAATAAGGTAACTAAAATCAATTACATACATTTTATATTACAGATATTGATATGAAAGTGTTATAAAGTTTTGTTTTATATGGAACAATTTACGCTTAGAAGTAACTATAATTAATTCTTTAACGTTTATAAATGTTCATTTCTACTTTTTTAAGCAATATGAGCTTATTATTTTAATATGTTAGGTTATCTTGTTTTGTACCTTATTTGCAAGTTTTCTATTTAACAATGTTGTTATGGATTCTGTTAAGCTTTGGTGAAAATGTTCAGGAGTAACTCTTATGACATCTTTCATTTCTGCTAATACGAACATTTTTAAAAATATTAATGAACATTTGGAAATATTTTTTCAAAATAATAACATTGGCGCTATCTACACTTCTACAAATACAGATTAAATAAATGGCATATGTTATGTATGTTATTGTCAACCTGATAATGGACAGATCATATGTAAAATATGTAGTATAAAAAAAATGTGTAGTACATACGAAACCATTTATTCATCGATGTACGAATATATTATGTCTTCATAAATTAATCTGTATTCTGATTTCTGATTTCTATGGTGAAGAAGAAGAACACTTACGCCCTGTCCGCACTGCGATATTTCACCGCACGTTTTTATTCTCGCAATTCTGTAACACATTGAATCTCATAGGAGGATACGCACTGGCGGTTAAAAATTCACGCGGAAAAAAAATCTGTGATTTGATGCAAATTGAACGCGATGCGGCGCGGATATATTTCCGCGCGAATGTTTTGTACAGTATATAGAAGTATGGCTATGGCCGCACTGCGAAATAAAATTCGCGCGTTTCGCTCAGTCGTGCAGGTCGACGCTATTGGTTTATCGAATGATTTTGTAGTCATTCTGTAATATCCGAAAAACTTTTTACTGTATTTTCGCAGCTATTGATGTTTAATGTAGAAAAACATCATTTTAGATTACTAAAATGTCTCAGTAGATATAGTAGATTTATCATTTTGGACGTTTGTCTCAGTCGGGAACTGCATTAAACTGATAAAAATCGTACGAAATTTTATTCGCAGTGCGTAATAAGTACAATTTCGATCACGGAATATAAGGCCCTGTCCGCACTGCAATATATCACCGCGCGATTTTTATTCTCACGTATTATATGCCGCTGCGAAAATACAGTAAAAAGTTTTTCGGATATTACAGAATGACTACATAATCATTCGATAAACCAATAGCGTCGGTGCACGACTGAGCGAAACGCGCGAATTTTATTTCGCAGTGCGGCCATAGCCATACATATTATATACTGTACAAAACATTCGCGCGGAAATAATCCGCGCCGCATCGCGTTCAATTTGCATCAAATCACAGATTTTTTTTCCGCGTGAATTTTTAACCGCCAGTGCGGATACTCCTATATGATTCAATGTGTTACAGAATTGCGAGAATAAAAACGTGCGGTGAAATATCGCAGTGCGGACAGGCCGTAATACGCGAGAATAAAAATCGCGCGGTGATATATCGCAGTGCGGGCAGGGCCTTAATAATTATTATTAATCTATTGTCAAGACTCCAAGAGACAAGAATTTTATTTGTCATCCATGGACAAGAATAATTTTTAATCAAATAAATAATATTTATGTTTATCATTTTTCATTTACTTTATAATAATACTTATAAAGTACTCTAAAATTGTAAAATATTTTGAACTCATTGATGAAGACAAATTATAATCATGACAGGTATGGGTATTGGGTATTGCTTTTTATATTCTTTTTTCATAAATTTTAGAAATAACTTATTTATGTTTTAATTACTTCGATTGTGAGGCTCAGTACATCTTCGTGTATTCATTTTCTTATTAGCCGATTTGTAGTTCATTTTTGTATAAACGTTTTAATTATTCCTATTTAATACCAAGTCAATAAAGGCTTTGAAATAAACACATGATCACTTCTAAACTGATAAGTGGCTTAATATTAATGCACACCATAATAGTAATGTCATCACTTTACTAATTCATTTCTTTTGTATTTAGGAAGAAGAGAAAGATCTAGGTCTCCAATGAGAGGAGACAATAGTGGCCGTAGAAGAGATATCAAAAATCTAGATCAAAATAAGAATCCTGAAAACATGCCCAATGTTATGAACCCCATGATGATGCCAAATATGTATCCACAAGGTATGACACATTGAGTTTTTTTGGTATAAGTTGTTCACTAAGAAATAACATTTCTCTATGAAAATTAGTATTTTATAACAACCCTTGCATTTAACAGTATTTCTGTCAAAATCAAGGGGAAAGCTTGTTACTGTGTATGTTGGCTATTTTTTCATGATGTTGCAGCTTTTAAGTGAAATTTAAAATAGAGACAACCTTCTTCCTGCATGGGTTCTAGATATGCACTTGACAGTATTTCTGTAAAAATTAATGGACATTGCATATGAAATGGTTTTTCATAATGTGGTAGTTTTTAAAATTATTTCGATTTTTTTTTTCTTTAATTGCATTTATAGACATCTATGGGCTTTACAAAAGAAATATAAAATAATGATTATATAAGTAGTCTTATCTTATTATTTTTAAATTTTATCTTGTAGGAAACATGATGATGCCTGGAATGTTTAACATGATGATGCCAAATCATATAATGGGAGGTGGCATGATGCAGCCACCTGGAATGGATATGATGCAAGGTCCTGCTATGGAAATGATTCCACAGCCACCAATGGATATGGCCTCTATGGGTAATCATCAGCCCTTACCACCTGCTCCTCCACCATTAGAAATGGGAATGATGGGAGGCGTTATGATGGACCCAATGATGGGAATGTTTCCAAATATAGGAGGTGATCCATCACAAGAAAAAAAGGAAATTATACTTAAATACTGTAAACTTATTCCACCAGAACCTGGCACTCCATTACCACCAAGAAGAGCAAGACCTCCTGGATGTCGGACCATTTTTGTAGGTGGTCGTTTACCAGATAAAATCAGAGAAAGTACAGTCAGAGAAATATTTGAGCGATATGGAAGAATTCATATTTTAAGGTTGTCAAAGAAAAATTTTTGCCATATAAGATTTGATAGGGAGAGTTGTGTGGACGCAGCTATGTTTATTTCAGGCTATAGAATAAAGATTTCATCTAAAGACAAAGATGAGAAAGAAGATGAAGATGATACACAGGATATAGGATGGCTACATATTGATTATGCTCTGGTAAAATTTTACTTAAAATTAAGAAGCTTAGAATTAGTATCTATTAAGTAATCTTTATTTCACCAAACTCATACAATTATATGTATATAGTAGTTTTGAATTCTGCTCATTCTTTATTAGGGTTATGTAGCCAAAAAGTTAATATGGAACCCTCAGAATTTCATCATCTTCACATTTAACAGCAATTTTACTCAAAGACTATTATAACTTTTCTGTATTTTGGTATGTAGGTGTCTCATGTAAACTGATGACATTTCCATAGTCAAATCGGATTACAAGAAGTAAATGGGTGTGATCCATTATTATCTATGTTTTTCTTTGTTTTTTTGATGTTTAAATTTTCAACAAGTTTTAGATTTTTTAAAATATGTTTAATTTTTAATTTCTTATATTTGAATGTTATCATTTAGGCGAGTATCAATGTAATCGTTGTAATCACATGGTGTCAATAATGTCCTTAATACTCCATATTGTGCCATGTGTTTAGTTTGGTTGAAATACATATATTTCATATTTATTCTGTTGAATAGAACATTTAAGTGTTTATATTCCTTTATAATTTGTATTTACAGAGTCGTGATGACCAAAACGAGTACGAAAGGCGTCAACGCCAGGCGTTACGCGTCCAACAGCAACAAATGCAACAGCTGTCAGCGCAACAAGAAGCCATAGCCAGCCGCAATATGAACTACCGCCGGTCGCCCTCTCCCGTCAGAATACAACCGTTCTCTAACGCGGCTATCGTGCAACTAGCTGAGAAAATTAAAAACGAAGAACATTTTCCTTCCACACTTCCTGTATGTATTTTTGTTTTATGTTAAATGTTAATAAGTTTTTTTGAATTTTTTTTCTTTCCCATGGATAAAACATACAAACAACCCAGAACATTCTATATTAATTTTGGTTGTTACCTACTTTGCTACATTATACGAAAAGCGGTACTGCACACTGGAATTTTTAAATTTAAAGTTTATTGTTATAATACATGATTAAAACACTCACAAATTCCGAATGGAGATAGCTTATTCTAGATCAACACAAAGGATTCTAGATCAATGTACCTACTGCAGGAACAATGTTATAAATCTTGTTTTAATATATGTAGTTTAAAAAAAAAGGACCAATCTGAGATAATATATAATGTATCTATGAGTTTAGAAAAGAAACATAAAATCTACACATGTCTTTCACTTTTGTAGCAGTCATAATAATTCCTAAGGTATTAGAGTACGGGTTTAGTTCTCTTGTGAAGGGTGACCCTTGTTTGTCAACCGTTATGAAAAACTATGGAATCATCTCCCTCTTAAGTCATATCTACAAGTTGTTATCTAGAGTTATCACGAATCGTCTTACGCGGAGACTCGACGGATGAAACCTAGTCAATTTTAATGTCTTTCCAACGGTGCCTTGTCGATTACCCATATATATAGGTGTTGAAATATCTGTATGACGCTGCGACAATGACCGTCCAAATCCAAAACCAGCAGTCTGAACTTATCTTCCTGCATCAAGGAGTGATACAAGTTGACATAATTTCCCCCAAATTGTTCACAATCACATTTGAGGATATGTTTAAGACATTTGCATTCGAGATTCGCAGACGAAACCATCGGTCTCCGGATAATTTAGACTAAACCAAGAAAAAGAAAGAAGATCATGTTCAATAACATGTAATACCGGGATCGATTGCTCTTAATGGAATAACTGTCGAAATATTACAATACATTGGACAATTACTGCAGTCGGTAAAAAATACTTCGAGAAAGACGCTCAAAGAAAAATACTGCTGGGCTGGGTAGCTTAGTAATGTAATTGTCAACTTCGTCGAGTCTTTTCGTGGCTAGTGCGGCAAAACCTAAAGACAATGGTCTTTGACGAATGCATACTAGCCAGTTATGACATACGGAGTTGCGACATTACGACCACATTGACGGTACAATTAGTCTACTAGTTTAAGGTCGGTCAGAGAGCGTTATAGAGCGGGCTATGCTCGGCGTTTCTCTGAAGGATCGGACCCGAAATGAAGTGATCACACAGAGAATAAAAGTTACAGAAGTGACAGTGGGCTGGTCACATTTGTCGCAAAACCGATGACCGATGGAGTAGACGGGTTAGTCTAGGACGCCCCACAGCTAGCTGGAGCGACGATATACCTAATACGGCCTAATACTGTTGGATGCGTAGAGCTGAAGTTCGAGCTTAGTGATATGCCATAGCAGAGGCCTCTGTCCAGCAGTAGACAAAAGCAAACTGATCATGATGATGATGATGAATTATAATAGAATTTGGAGAAATAATCATATGAATTATTATTTATATTATTTTTATTAGTATGTAGACGTGTATATAATATATCAAAAGGTCAGAGTGTAGTCAGAGTATGCACGAAAGGGGTCAATAATATGCTCCAGTACACGAAATTATCTTTGGTAACAAATATTTTTTCCTTACAGACACTAATCTCTTGGTTAGAGAGGGGAGAATGTTCAAAAAAGAATTCCAACCAATTCTACTCAATGATTCAGGCAACTAACTCCCATATCCGACGGCTTTTCAATGAAAAAATGCAATCCGAGGAAGAGTTACAAGAATGTAGAGAAAAAGTCAAAAATCACATATCAAGCATCATAGAACAACGTAAGTATTGTACTGGCATATATAATATAAAGTCCTTGTCTTACATTCACTGTCGCTGAATGATTCGTTGGTCAGTCATGTCTCAGTCTAAAATGAAACCGTCCTATTGAACTTTCTTTATATTTATATTAACTCTAAGGTAAGATGTTAACTCAAAGTGGATAATGTGACAAGTCAGCAATTTATATTGTCATTTTATATGGGTTTGTTATTTGATAATGTTCATTTATTTTTATGAAATAATATTACTTACATACATAAATAGTATAAAATGACGATAGTTTTTGTCTGATGCACGAAAAAGAAAATAAATGTCTATATTTATTAAGAAAAAAGACAATGTCTGTTTTAAATGAATCTAGAAAGCTTTGAACATAATATAATGCTTCATGTTAAAGCTACTATAGTGCAAAATCTATTCTCTGGTGACTCTACATTATAACTCGATAGTTATTCTCAGAAGTAAATCATCTTTAAACAGCAGTCTCCATCTGATTTTGTTCAAAAATGAGTCCCCATTTGGTATTTCGGGGAAATTTGTAAGTTATAATGCTTACACAAGTATACTGTACAATAATATTGATTATAAATAAAACAATGTTATTTTTAATAACTAAAAGCGAGATTGATCTCAGTAACATACTTGTGTTTGCATTAAGGGCTCTCTCTGTGTGATGACACACTAACATTCACATTTGTAAACATCCCTTAACTTTTCGGAATCACAAGAAATTTAATTCAGAACATGTCAATGGATGTTTATAAATACGAATGAATCTCAATAACCGCCGGCTGGAGTCGACAATGCGGCGGCGCGACGGTACGTCTACGGTTTGGTCTGACTTGTAAACATAATCTTTGTGAAACTCAGTCGAACAGGTGGCGAAAGTGTTTAGTGCGGCCACCCACCAGCGTGTGTGGGACCACTTTACTAAACCGCAACGCAAGAACATCGAAACCTGGCAGAAAATGACGCAGGTGAATAAAGCCTTGTTTCTTTAGGACGCGTCGGCTCGGACTGATGAGTTGTTAGCTCTAACTCGACCGGCTGTAAAAGTTACTTCTATATAGTATTAATTTATCCCCAATGTAATCTCTTTGGAGAGTTAATTTTTATTTATTCTTTGTAAGTCCTCCTCCACCGCTTCCACCTTTACTGTATAAGGAACTCCTGTGCAATTTTCATGCTTCTATACCAATTATTAAGGTTTTGTCTTCAGTGAATGAATTAATTTAAAATTTCTCTTAAATGATGAAAATGTAGGTAGGTGAAGGTATTCGTATACGTTTGTATAATTATTTCTATTCGTCAAGGAATGTCGTACAGTGTTCCATTTTCTAAAAGGACGCGTTCTGAGTTTATTATCACCATGATAGACATAGAGAGTGGACTGAGTGTTTCTTTGCGAGCCGTCGGCTAAAAATGGCTGAAATGCGCGACAGAGAAAACGAATGTCCGGCGAGAAGTCTTCTGTATTAATTGAAATATGATAAATGAAGAAAGATATTTATAAGACAGAAAAAATCATTTAACATTAAATTAGATACAAAATAATGTATTTATTAAATTAGTTTATCTATCATAGTGTGTTATAATTTTTTTGCAACCCATTTATAAATTCAAATTGGAATAAAATACAGTTACATATTAGCCGCACGGTCGCTTTCTCTCTTTCTAGAGAGTGGTCGATTTCATGAGAGTATCGCTCAGTCCACTCTCTAGTCTCTACGTCTATGAATGTCACAAACAAAGGAGTCTACACTCTACTTATCAAAATATTCTATCAAATTTTAGGGTTAATAACTTATCATTTTATGCCGACAATTAATTAGCAGTAACGAACGAGGCGCACGTACTAAATAGTTTATGTTATATGGATTTTGGCACAGACATTTTTCATTATTTTTACTTCTACATGTAATAGATATACTTCCATGTTTATGTAAAAAGGTAATGCTTAGTGTACGAGTTTTATATTCGACTGAATAGTAATAAATGCAATAATTAAAACAGAAGACGGCAGTTACAGGTAACAGTTGGTAAGAACACACACATAAACTTTTGTTTCAACATGTACATGTAAATAGTTTGTTATATAATATATATTTTTGGTTTTCTACATAAAATATAAACCCTATGCAAATAAATATGCTATATATTAAATGTTAATAATCAGTTATAATTTTATCTTTCAAACGAACGTTAAATATCATAATCGATAATTAATTTCAACTGATATTTGCATCGATTTGGAAGTGTTATTAGAGATTTTTCTTTTTATAAATCTTTTTTTAGGAGTTTAATACGCTCAAGGAAGAATTCAATGAAAAATTCCTTGGAGATGACATGGATTTCAATGGTTTTAACAGTCAAAGCAATAATATGGATGTTAATAATGAAGAATTACAAGAGTTGAAGGTATTTTTAAAGGTTTTTCTGACGGCGTTCTATTTACTTTACTCTGTATAAAATTAAATTGTTTCGATAGATTTCGATTGGGCTTGATATAAAACAAGAAAAAATACGAATGTTCTGCTCTTTTGTTACTTAGAGTTGATGACAGCCACGGGTCTAACCCGTGCTAGTTTTATCATTGAGCTATTTAAAGCGTAATGTTTGCATTGTTAATTGCCAATGAATGGATCTTTAACATCATCCATAATTTTTTTAATTGTGAACTGTTATTGATAATCTAGTAAATTCTCTACACGATTCATTAGTTAGTATTTTAAAGTATGGAATTTGTAAATAATATTTTTATTACCACCAGCTGCTTTAAAATTATACTTGTCTATTTGTTATAGCGGGAGAATGAAAGTCTAAGATTCCAACTGGAAGCGTACAAAAATGAAGTAGACGTCATAAAAGCAGATGCTCAAAAAGATATGGAGAAGTTTAAAGCCCAGTTTATTGCGCGTCAAGCGTTGCAGGACGCGATGGAGAAACACGTGAGTATGCAATACTCGGAACATTTAGTGTTGTTAAACAAGTACGCATCTCTGTTACACATTTTCTGTCATTGAATTGACGAGAATGAAAAAAATAATAATTGAAAAAGACCATAGTGTTGATTTTTTTAATGATAATTATCTCATTATCATTGTCACTCGAAATTTATCAATTATTAACCTATTTTCTTGATCTTTTTTTAATAAATAAGTTTATACCTCAAGGTTGGTCCCATATAAATGTAAGAAAAAAACCAATTGTTAATGTTAAAATGTTATTATGATGCGAAACGGGGTATTTACTATGTTTAGCATTTTTGAGAGTTCTCGATATTTCGGCAAAAGTGCCATGATCACTAAGGTATACTGATGACTTTGCGGATGAATGTTAAGTTTTTTATTGACAGACATAATAATATTGTCAGCGACGATGAACGTTTAAAGAGTTTGAAGGCATATATACCTTTTTAATTAAGAGTATTTATATTGTCAGCCGCCGTTACCATCGCCGATGGCGAAGCCGCCGCCGCCGCCGCCGCCGCTGCCCGACGACGCGGACGCCGCGGCGGGCCTGAAGGAAGAAGACTTCAAATGCGGGGAGGCAAAGTTGATTGGCATCATGTCTGCGTTTCTACAAGTATGTTTTTGTACAGGACCGGATAGAATCCGGGTATAATAATGCAGTTTAGGCAACTGCCTATGGGCCCCGTATCGTCTAGCGTAGCGTAGTCTTCGAAGAAAAAAAATTGAAAATGTATCATTGAGTGAAAAATTTATTTAAAAAAAATAAAAAAATAGGTGAAAATTCCACCATGAGGAAAATGCAACAGTTAGATTTCTATGAAATCTACCTAATAGCATAATTACGAAAAATGTATTTTAATAAGTTTGAAAAGGGTGAAAGGGCCCCGAGAATTGTAATTCCTAGGACCCCCGAGGTTAATACGCACCTGTTTTTGTATTGTCTTTTTAAAAAAATATTATTTAGTTATCAGTAGTACTATGTATTCTGATTTAATACCATTTATTTATTCAGTTTTAATATATCACATGTTAATTACACGAGTGGTTGAATTGGATGGTTGAAATACTGTCAATATTATTTTGATATTTCTTATCATTACTGCCACTTTTTAGCGCCATAGTTGAATGAATTCGGTATGATTTCGATATGTTTTTTTCATGAACGAATTAACCACTGGACCAGACATATAAGCGGACGTACCTTTAACGGTCATGTCAGTAACCAGGGAATTTTAGCCCAGGTCGTTTGTTTCTTGTGTCAGTCTCAAGCACTTACTTGTCAACAAAACATCTCCCAAAAATGACTAAATGTTCTGTTAAATGGTGTAAAAACTATAACGGCGGAAGCAGCACTATTTCTTTTCATTTGTAAATACATTATTTTATTACATTGATTGTTATTTATCACAAAATTTAATTAAATGTAAAATAAAATGTCATATTATCCAACTATGTTAAATATAGTCGATATTTCTATGTATAGTTGACATCTGACAAACATCATAAACGGGCTGGATTATACTATTCAAAACAAATGACAAAACTGTCGAGTGAGTCCATTTGACATCGACTAGTGCTTGACAATGTCGAAAAATATATCGATATTTGACGAAATAACTGAACGAATTGTGTTATTTGTACAGTACAATAACATAAAATACTTTTATCACAGTATCCTACAATCTGATGACAATAAATTTATAATTTTTTTTTTTTAAATCAAATAAAAATATAAATGCAAAAATTATAATTAGTATGTGTACTTAATTTTTTATTTTATTTTATACCACATTTATATACTTTGGAATATTATTCCATTGTAATAATAATAAAGATCATTTTATTTCAACACATAAATTACACAAAATCAAACAATAATGTTTTAGCACTAAACATCTGGGTTGGCGATTTATAATAAAACACTTTACCACTTGCACTAATTATTTTACTTTCACGATCCAACACTCACTTTTTCACAATTTGCAATCACTTTTTCTTTTTCCTAATTTCACAAATGTTTATTAATAACTGAGCAATATTAGAACAGTGTCACATTTTTATAACTACCTGAGACAATCAATTGCCAATTAAAATAGTTCAATAACAGAATCAACAAAATTACTTTATTTAATTAAATTCGCTTAATATTTTTTTTAATCTTTACAAAATAATATTTATTATATATTAATGGAATATACACCCGATATTCATTTGTTTATTAACATTATTATAGGCCAACAGAATGTTGCTATCAATGCCATCGTATTTATATAAATCAAATTAAAAAATAATTATTATTTGACACATTATTATTGCCTCTTTAATTCATTTATTTTAATTTATTATAATAAATACAGATATTTTAAATTAAAAGATGTAAAATATGATGACTATGCTAACCAATGTCTAAAATGTCATTCATTGGTTCATCGATATATGTATTTTATCGATTACGTTCAAACACTAGAAATATTGTATGGTGTATCAGTGTTTATAATAATGTAATAAAATCTTTGTGTGCGTTATGCGTCACTTGGTTGAACTAGTTTTCATACATTTGTATTTTATGTCAGGTCCAGTCTCTAATTCGTCCATGGTTTTTTTAACAAAGATTCGACCCATTTATGCGTCGGTGTTGTGTAGGCCAGGTTTAGCTTTCCTCTAAATAACTACCGGTCGGCTGACTGGCAAATGGCATTACCAATCAAACAGTAACATATACAATACTAATTCAATTGACTAACTATTTATTGATTTTGAGGCAGTTAACAGTTAATTTAAAATGAATCCGATTTTCAGGGTTTTAATAAGTGTTCTTAGAGATAATGTATAATATGTGTCTTAAATCAAAATGAAACTAAAAGTATACTTTATTCAAATAGACTTTTACAAGCACTTTTATCTTCTTTTATCTTACGAAATCTCAGTATTATCGTTTAAAGACATTAACGCGGCAGCGGTCTGTCGATGCCAGGTGCACCCGCAGGGCGCGAGCCTGGACTACGTGGTGTCGTACGTGCGCGCGCTGCTGCCGGCCGCGTCGCCGGCCGCCGTGCACCGCGTGCTGCGCCGCCACGCCGACGTGTTCCGCCGCACCTCCCGCGGCGTCGGCGCCGACCTCGAGCACCGCTGGACCTTCGTGGCCTACGGCGGCGCCGACTGATCACTCGCCTTACCGTGTCCACATCCGCCCCTTTCTCCGATTACACCACTAAAGCGCACTATGCGGCATGATGCTAACTTCGAACGTTTCATCTACAGCAACGCTCCGCTCGATCGAGCATTTTCAAAAGTACCGCCTTGGCGTGATGCGCGCAAGGATACCGACTTAATGACCGAGAAAATATGAGAAGTGTTTTTTCTTCGAGATGGCATTGATCACAATTTTATTTACAACTAACTTTAGTAATATTTGTTAATATTTTATTTATATAATTATATATTAATTAGTTGTATATTATTATACGTGTATTATTATATATTATATACATATGAGTTATATTTTTTCTTTCAACACTGAACTTACTGCCCTCTGCTAGTGCACTTGAAAACTAATTCACGTTCATACTAAACGTAACGTTGCTCTGTAATTGGAAAACAGGGACGTACATGTACTTGAATTGCAAAGAACAACATTGTAACTCCGTTTTTGACAAGTTGAACTATGTCACGTGATTCGAACGATAATAATTATTGGAATATATATTCTTAAATCGAAAACTGCAAGAAACAACATTGCAACTCAACTTTGGATAATATATCAGAGTACATACTCTTCAAATTCCCATAATACTGATTTACAATATTGTTATCTATAAGTATCGATATAGATATATGTAGTTCCCTATCGAAAGCAATAAGGTCATACATCGACGTTATAGTTCTCGCCAAACTTTTTGGCCGCCCTGAATTTGATGCTAGCAAGACCTCGCGCAGATAGATTAGAGTGGACACTAGTTAACGCAATTATAAATATATGTTTATAAAGTATTATATATATTGGTATTTATTACTTTTTTATATAATTTTAAAATATTAATGGTTAAAGTCAATCAATAGGATTTGAAAATTAAATACATTTAATTATCAAAGTCTCTTACGCCAGTTACCGTATCTATCACAAAAAAAAGACACAACAAAAAGTAACAAAATAAATATTATAACAATAATAAAGACGTAGTTAAGAATTTTGTACTGAAATGTGTCGTCTGTGTGTGTGTAACTTATGTACAGACGTGTCACGCACACTGCGCGCCGCATCTCGTTCTTCATCAGCTCAGGCCAATTCAAGGCGGTCAAAAAGTTACAATTATATATCATCACGTAAACAATCCATTATTGTTGAACATTCACATATTTGCATACTGAGAGCTAATGTTAGTAGTTCACGACGTCGAACGTATGTCAAACTGTAAAGTTAACGGATATATCTGTGAGAAAGAATGAGTTAAATATACATCAAAGTTGAATCTATTTATATTGTTACAATAGATAATTATAGACAGTACCAACTAGATACGCTATATCACTGCACAAGTTATTGATATGTATGTATAACTTATAAGTACATAACATTTCAGACATTGTAAATTATACATAAGATGATTCACTACACAAAGTATATAATTGTTTTATTAAGTCGTCATAAATTACTATATTAAAATTTGTGACGATGGTGTTTGTTTGATGATTGTTACTCCATCACTATGTAATGGCAAAACTGTTTTAAGTGAAAGTGGGATTGGCGATACATACTTGGTACACAAAGATTGTGGTTTATCGCCATACCGTGGGGGTATATGGGCATGGGAGGTGAGAGCGGTCAGGTGGCCGTGACCGCTCTCACCTCGAGCAAGAACTATACAAACTGTACTGTGTTAAAAAGGCCAAGTAACATCGATCAAAAACGTACTAGATACACAATCCCATTCAAAAGTTCTCTTAAAACTGTCATCAATTGTGCTTAGGCTATTCTTCCAGTTGAAATAAATATACAACAATGTAAATTGAACCTTAATTACATTGCTTAAAGTTGTTTTCACATAAAATATATTAAAAGCGCACTCAAATGTTCAAATGAGCGCTCATTAGATGAGGACATTTTTTGTTGCTGATTGTGTATCGGATACTTTTTTTTATCGATGCCAAGTAATAATAATGCCATTGTTATTAGTAACGTTGTAAGGCTGCACGAAACATATTATGGTCAATTGGATACATTTAGCACAGCAATAATAGGTATTAAGGTGTTAGTACAAATTAAGTGGTAAATATCTTCTTTTTTTTGGATAAATTGTCAAAATATTATTAGGCCAGTAATAAAGTAAAGGTTTAATTATGTGTAAATTTAACATTTATTTTTGTACAATGATGATCATTGTACAATTCTCATCGCAATGTGATAACTCATTTTTGCTGTCAAATGTTCAGGGCTAAGACATGACACTAAAATGAGTATAATGTATGGAGTAATAATAGGTTTAGTCCATCGGTATCTGGAAAAAAATATTTGGAATGTCTTCAGTACTTTATTAGAAAATCCATAACACAAGTAAAAGTACATGCATTTGTAGATAATGGTACGTAAATTTAATTTTTTGGTATTAAATTACCCTAAACTCACTTTCTTTTTAATAAAATAAACATGACAATGAATATTTTTTGTTTAAAATACTGCTTTTGCGTAATATTTCTATATGTACATTGTACATATTCTCGTACATTAAAAAATACATTAAATTGACATTTTAAATTAAAATCAATGATGTATAAATAAAATATTATAAAGTTTTATTTCATAATAACTAAGTTCTAACAGGTTACTGAAACGCACGTTTTGTTATTAATAAATACATATAAATTCTCTAAGAAAAGAATGTCAGTCTCATGTATGATAAACTTATTATAATACTAGCATTGCCCGCGGCTCCGCCCACGTTCAGATGAACAAAAACCAAATAAAATAGCGCTATTGTTATTTTTTCATGTTAAGCTATTTTTAATAGTTTTTGTCTTATTTAGTAAGTTACCTTGCTAAAATATACATATATCATCGTGGTTTTATTCTAATCAGTTTTTGTATTTTTTTTATCAGAGATGAAATATTTTTCCGCGGTAAAAAGTATCCTATATGTTGACCCGGATAACCAGCTAATCACCATACCAAATTACATCAAAATCCCTCCAGTAGTTTTTCTGTGATGCGGTAACAGACACACAGACAAAAATTCTAAAAACTATAGATTCGGTCTCTGTATCGATAATAATGTCTATTTCTGTAAGATTTTCCAAAAAATATTTAATGTGTAGAATCAAATTAGTTAGAATTTTATTATATGTACGAGTATAGATTATAATCTTCTATATATGTATGTATATAGAACAAAGACGTGTTTGTTACAACACTTATATATAACTCGAGAACTGCTGGACCGATTTTTATGATCTTTGGTTTGTTGGATTTGTCTCCGCCCCGAATAGCAGAATAATTGTTAAAACATTGGACAAAATCACGAAAAAAATAATAATTTACATGGCTAATGCCGCATACTATTTATATCTATTTAAAACGTACCTAGGGACAAACAAGACGAGCGAAGCGAGGGTGAGCCGTTAGTTTTGAATAAAACTATCTTTTAAAATGTTTTCGCGGATTTATTTTGATTTTTGACGTTTCGCATTCGAAAAAAGAAGTGTAAAGCATTCGAAACTCTCTCTCCGTCATGCATGAACATCTTGAGCAAGTAAAGTTCACACAGTCTTCTGCAGCGCGTGCGCGTAGTCGGCCTCGGCCTCGCGCAGGTCGCGGTCGCCGGGCGGCTCGGGCTCGCCGGCCGCCGCGTCGCGCTCCTGCCGCAGCTTCAGGCGCAGCTCCCGCATACGCGCTTCTAGGATACGCTCGCGTTTGTTCTCACGCTCTAATATCTGATCAGTTCGTTGATTTCAATTTTTACTGTTATCTAGCAGAACCCGCGGCTTCGCGCGCGCTAAAACTATAAAAAAATCTAAAAAGGTAGTTTCATACAAACTTTCATCCCTTATTTTACCCCCTTATAGGATGAATTTCGAAAAATGCTGAGGCATGTAATTATTTAATTTTATTGAAAAGCATTAATACCAAGTTTCAAGTAATTCTGATCATAAATATTTTTTATTCTATCGTGAGTTTTAAAAAAACATGCCTATGTCACTCTCGTTTCGACGTGAAGGAAGGAAAAACAAATAAACAAACAAACACACTTTCACATTTATAATATTAGTATGGACTACACCCAGTAGCGGATTTAGACTTAGGCCTGTGAGGCCTGGGCCTAGGGCGGCAATTTTGACGGACGCCAAAATTATTGAGATGACTAAAATGAAAAATCGATTGGGTTTTCTGTAAACCGTAAGACCAAATTTTATGGCGGTGCGCGCGGGCACGCGCGGTGACATGCGGTCATGTACACAACAACATTGATTCTTTGCAACCTAAACCGCGCGTTCATCTGAACTTAGCGTAAAGTTTATTTTCTTGCGCTCTTACAAGCTAAACAGTACCATTTCAAGGCTAGAACTTCTTTGTTAAAATAATTAATTAATATATAAGTAGGTACCTACTGTTACGAAGGAAAGAGGGCGTCATATCGACTTCGGCCTAGGGCGCCATCGAACCTAATTCCACTACTGACTAGACCGCTAGGGTCTACCCCGTTTCGCTCGGATGACCCCCTGAGTACGCGGATTTTGTTCATAATATCATGGGTTTCAATTTTTTTGCGCGGTACCCTAATTCCTTTTCTAAAATAAAATTAACCCTAAGTTATTCCTTATAACATCAGCTATTTGCCAGTGAAAGTGCCTGTCAAAATCTATCCAGCCGTTTCAAAGATACGTACATACGAAAGCCGAAACAAACAGACAAAAATTGTTTTTTTTATAAGTACCGTATATATTATGTACTTTATACTTACTCGCTTTCATATACATTTAGTGAAAAGCTATTATCTTACCATTACAAACAGACACACATTTTATTTATGGTAATAAATATTTTTATGAACTTAACTTTGGTTTTAAAACCTCAACTGTTTCTTTTGTAAGGGAATGCAATAGAAGATAAACTCATATTTATAAAGAAATGTACACTAAGTTTTATTTATTTATTTTAAGGTGTTGGTCTGCTAATTCAGCGGCAGTGCTCCAATGGCAGTGCGTACCTACTGTTAGACTGAAGATATTTATAGAAAACTCACAACAATGAAAAGTCATACTAATCTGTTAATGCTTAGAGCTACCTCACCAACTCACCATACTAATTAGAGCTTTTTATGGTGTTTTAGAAATATCGGAAATCAAGATTTTTCTAATTATATATCCATATTAATATTATAAATAAAAGTATGTTTATTTGTTTGTCCTTCTTTCACGTCGAAACGGCGTGACGGATTGGCGTTATTTTTTGTGTAGAGATAGTTGGAGGGCTGGAGAGTGACATCGGCTACTTTTTAGTGCGGCATATTATCTAATTCCACGGGAAAACACGTTATAATACAATCCAAAAAATATTTATAATTAGAATTACTTGAAACTTGGTATTAATGCTCTTCAGTCAAAATTAAATAAATACGTGTTTTAGCATTTTTCGAAATTCATCCTGTATGGGGTTAATTAAAGGATGAAAGTTTATATGAAACTACCTATTTAGAGATTTTTTGCAGTTTTAGCGCGAGCGAAGTCGCGGGTTCTGCTAGTTTTACCATAAAATAAACAGGGCCTTTGTTTTGGTTTTTCTGTCTTAATAATTGCCCGTATAAGGATACTCACGTGAGTCAAAAGTTGTTTGTCATTTTTATCGGCAGTACCAAGGTTTTGTGACAATTCCGCCAAGTAAATGGTCCCTTTACTGCTTCCGCATGCCACCAACAGGCCCTTGTGAGAAATACATCATACAAATAATTAATTATAATTTATAAGAGAGCTTTATAATTAATTCATTTATGCGCTAAAAGCTTTTGTAATAAAATATTTCACGCAATGTTGGTTAACGTTCAAGGGTTAAATAATCTTAGTCTTTCAATTCAAGAAATAGTCATCGAATCAATTATATATTTTAGAAGGCACCTATTCTTAATAGATTCTCATAATTGAGATAATTTGTCTTCTATATTTTGTAATGTCAACAAAAAAAATAGCACAGATTTCGCTAAGCTTCTATTTTACTATATTAACTATCTACTAACGATTTACCTACTCCTTATAACATCTATGAGTGAAAGTCTTGTTAAAATCGGTCAAGCCGTTTCGGAGATTAGTCGGAACAGGCAGACAATTATTTTTATTAGCAGTTAGTAGGCACCGTATATTACAAGTAGACCCTTTAAATTTATTTATCTGTATAGACGTACAGCCGATACACAACATACCATTGCTTTGCCCGGGTGCGTTCCTACATAGGTGTTATTTTTTTATTTCATTAAAATCCGTCCATTTGTTTCAGCGTGAAAAGTAAAAAACATATGTATACACACAAAAAAAACTTTCGCTAATGTAATTGTAGCCCGATACAATAAAAACAGTTTCCAGCTACCCCCTCGTGCGGGCGCAGCCTCAGCAGCGGCTCGTCGCAGAGGCGCGCGGCGGCGACGGGCGCGCCGCGCCGCCGCAGCAGGTCCCAGCACGCGAGGCAGCCGTCCCACTGCGTCACCAGCACCAGCGAAAACCTACATTTATTGGACTTGCTAACTACAAGTTTCTTTACGCACGCTTCACTTCGGGGTGAGATAAGTAAGAGGCGAACGTTTGTTGCCATGGTAACCGTTGTTATTGTCTGACAAATGATATATTATATTATTTCCTTAAATGATATTCTATAAATATATGATTGTAATATGCCTATTATGCGTTATTATTAGTATCTCACCTATCCAATTATTTAAAACATAAATTTAATTTCATAAAGAATACGGATAACCTACAGAAGTTTTACTTTTTAATGTAAAAAAAAACTATCTTTTCGGATTTTGGGAATTGAAAAACAAAATAAATGCGCGAAAAGATTTGAAAAGATAGTTTTAATTTTAAAATGTCAAATCGCAGTAAATTTAAAAAAGTATTGCTTATATTATTTTTTCAACCGACTTCAAAAAGGAGGAGGTTCTCAATTCGACTGTATTTTTTTTTTTTTATGTTTGTTACCTCAGAACTTCGTCATTTATTAACCGATTTGGACAATTTTTGTTTTGTTTGAAAGGGTATACTTCCAGATTGGTCCCATTTAAATTTCAAAAAAAATACCACCCCTAAGGGTGGAAAAATAGCTAATTATGGGTTTAGCCTACTTCTAATTGTCATATTGACTTGAAACTTTGCAAGTGTTTCTATTTCTGTTGATAGTACAGTGGTTCGGTATTGTTGACCTGATCTGATGGTAAGGCCAGAAGTTGGATAGGTGGAACTCTTCAACGGCTAATAGTAGATACTTTGAGTTTGGGCTTATTTTGTTTGATTCGACAAGCCTAACACGTTAGAATTCTTACTTTGCTACTACTGTCTACACTAAAAAGGGAAAAATAAAAACTTTTTAACAAAAAAATAAAAACCGACTTCAAACAAAAGCACTAAAAAGTAAAAAAATAACTGATTGGTAGTTTTCATTTACTATACATACCTAATCAAATATTTTCGAAGTCGGTGTGCTTTGGCTAAGTAATTAAAGCCTACCTATTAAATACATACCTAATCAAATATTTTCGAAATCGGTGCCAGCCCATACAAAGCATAGCACACCGACTTCGAAAATATTTGATTAGGTATGTATAGTAAATGAAAACTACCAATCAGTTATTTTTTACTTTTTAGTGCTTTTGTTTGAAGTCGGTTTTTATTTTTTTGTTAAAAAGTTTTTATTTAGTTTTCATTAATTCATGCATCTGCCACTTTTCTTCCAATTTCAATTATTATCATTTAAAGTTATTACTTATTAGTTATAATGCTTTTTAATACTATCTCTCCAACTCACTTATGTTGACTGGAAGAGATCTCTTCTAGAGATAAGCCCACCTTTGCTAACTAATTTTATTGTTTGTTAACTTTGTATTTTACATATAAGTGCAATAAAGAATTGTATATGATTTCTGACAGTAATATATATATATATATATATGTATATATATATATATATATATATATATATATATTATATATATATAATTTCTATTAGTGAAAGAATTTTCACAATCGGTTTAGTAGTTTCAGAGATACATTATTACAGACAAACTTACAAACTTTACCTCTTTAGATATAATAATTTTTTTACTAATAATGTTCCATCCTTCCATATTTCTAACGTAGGTTAGTTAGGTCTCAGATAGATAGGCGGCTATACCTAAATTATGTCTAAAAAAGATTCTTGCAATAGGTGTCTATAACATACAAACCTAATAGGATTCCAGGCTCCATCGGTGAGTTTAGTTCGATGTGCATACGTCCAAAGTATAGACGACTCTCTACAGTCTTCACTCCAGACTCGAGCCGTCCAGTCTCCGACTGTTAGAAAATTCTTCAAAAATGTTGGATTCCTTTGTAAAGCGTATACCGGACCTAAATGCGCCTCATACTGAAACATAATATGTTATTATTTATTCTGAAATATATTTCCGGGATATATTATTATTATATGTTTTTCCTACATAAAAAGTAGCTTATGTGTTATTCTGATGTATGACCTATATATATATTATAATAAAGTTTCATTAAATTCCATTCAGTAGTTTTTACGTCTGTGTCGATATACTATTATACATTCAGACATCCATACCTCTTCACAAACTTTCGCATTTATAATATTAGTAGTAATCATATGATAAGTGGGTACAAGGGCTGATTCAATTTGAAACTTGCTGTCGATACGATGTACAATTTTAACCTCATATCTTATAAGTATAAAAATAAAAAAAATATTCTAAAATATAAAGTACGAGTACAAATATACTAATTTCTGTAGGTTCATTCACTTAATACATTATACATATACTAAGTACTTCTCCTTGATACATATCTATGTATTATATTGTATTCAGCCCTTTGTAACGTCCCACTGCTGGGGGTGGGCCTCTCGTCAGTACGAGGGGGATCAGGCCATAACCCGCCCGCTGGCCAAGTGTGGGTTGGCGGACTGAACATGTCTTTCGAAAACTTACTAGGGTGAAACTCACGATGTTTTCCTTCACCGTAAGGCAATTGGTAATCATGTTAGAAATGATTAGCACATAAAAATATATTACACGAGATACATATTTATAGCAGTCCTAAAAATAAGAACTTACTCTAGACGGTAATTTTTCCAAAGGTGTTTTTCCCTTTCGATTTCCTCCTATAACTAATCCTGTTTCTGTCCCAACCATAAATCTAGAACATAAAAAAGATATAACTTTTGAATTTACATTTACTAAATTTCAGAAAAAAGACGTATTGTAGGTATATGAACAATAAACATTATCATAAATGTAATTATTTAAGTAGAGTTGGGAACGCTTGAGTTGTGGATATAACAAAATAGTAAGAAAGCGAAATCTGTACATGAAATAGGTATTTTTTTAAAACAACACATAGTAACGCATTGTGTACATAATATTAATCTCGAAACAATAGTTATTAAAAATTTTGTCCATTTGTCTGTGTGCATTTCACGCAAAAAGTACTGAATCGATTATAACTAAATTTTGTGTAGTGATAATTTATAACTCGGGTCAACATTTTAAATACTTTTTACTTCAGAAAAATTACGGGGAATCACGATAACTGGTTCTCTCAAGGGTCCTTAAAAATTTACATAGCTGACTCTGACTGAGCTTTAATAAATATATTAAAACAATGTACTAGAAAATTGTAGGTCTTAAAAGGTATACAGAAAAGTCCGCTATAGCATGTGTCTATCTCCTAAATTATACTAACAAAAACTAGTTATATATGGAATGGAGATTGGAGGTACGCTCACGCGAGCGAAGTGAGGATAAATCGCTAGTTTATATATAACCTAACTATTTTTACGGTCCCTCTCGATCAAAAAAGTACTTTTCATGTATGTAGTACCTACATAATTATAATTTTAAAAGAAGGAGAATTAGACAATATATCTACAGAATAAATTAAAATTCATTATTACCTTGTAGGTATGGTGGGTTCATATTCGAGGGCGGATATACCAAGAGCATTTTCCACACTTTGAGTATCGTTGTTTGATTTTACAGGATCTATTATCATTGTATCACTTGGCTCGTTCATATTTCTTATATCCCACCTTTAAAGTAAATGAACTATAAAAATAAATTTTTAATTTGGAAGTGAGAAGCTTAGTTTGTCACGTACGTATTTATTGTTATATTATAGGTACCTACACGCTAAATTGCATGAGGATTTCTATAATATAACAATTTCAAAATGTGAATAAATCTTTAGTACTAGATATTTTGATACCATTTAACAACGCCATCAGGCGACGATGAGAAGAATTCAGCCCCAGTTTTTGAATTAATAAAAAGAACATTCCTTACAAGATCTCTATGAGCGACATGTGGAGGGGACAGTGCGGCCGCCTCACCGCCTTTACGCATATCCCAACATCCCACCTTATAAGACGAAAAAAATACCTTTTTAGTTTTGCATCAAATATATGTTATACATATTATTTTAAATTCTTTGTGGAAGTGGTGGATTTTTCTCTACAATATTATTAAAGTTCTTTGGTTTAAAGAAGTAAGATAAAATAAATATAACAATAATATTATATTCGTTACGGATCCTGTTTTGTCGCCAGGAGATATAGTATCATAGTATCACAAACATATTCCGTGAACTATACATATACTATATATAGGTACTTGTCTCACTTTAAAGCTACATATAATAAAATACTGAGTCGAACATTTATGATTAAATATTCTTGGAAAATCTTATTGAAATAGTCATTATTATCGATACAGAGGCCGAATCTAGTTTTTAGAAATTTTGTCTGTCTGTCTGCCTGGAAACGCATCACAATAACTACTGGACAGATTTTGATGAAATTTCGTAGGATGATAGCGGGTCAACATACAAGATACTTTCTACTGCGAGTAATTTTTGTCACCCAACCGGTAACCAAACCGTTAAAACGTTCCTAGGGACAATACCGAGCAGAGTAAGGGTGAATCGCTACTTATTTATAATCTAAAGCTTACTTGGCCATTCATCATGCCTCCAACTAAAATATGTTGATCTCTAGGATTGTACTGTAAGTCAAGTAAAGGCTGTGGCGGAGTTATTGATAATTCTGGTGCATTAGCATTTTCTGGAAAAATTAAAATGACATAACGTGAAAAATGCAGACAAGAATTTATGATGACACATCGTTATTACATAATTATAATTAACCTATGTCCCAAATGTAAGAAAGTTGGAGATTTCTAGAACTTCTCGTGAAATTAACATCGGCATGAGCACAGGCAAGCCTCGCGCCTTCTGCTTGCCACGACAACGAACGTATCGGCCGCCTCGCTGAACCAGGCTCTCTGTATACGTTGACTGTATGACAACTGCTCTTCTCAACCGGCGGGATCGTTGGTAGCTCGGAATAATAAATCTGGTACATATCCACTGCATTGTTTTGTAGAATATTGTGTTCCATACTCTGCCATATTTGGAGGAAAAAGATATCACGTACAGTAATGACTTAGGTACATTTTTTATTTTTAACTTAAAAAAGAAAATCTTACATGCCCCAAGTGCATAACAGCATGGATATAAGCGTCATCTTTTTCAATTTTACGTCGATACCTCTGCGTGGCTTCCGGGTCATTTGTGTTTATATCCTTCGGCCAACCACCCTCTATGTGATTTATTCCTGAACTTGTGTACTCAGCTCTACAAATCCCGACATAACCATTGTTACTATATATTTCTTAATACAAATTATGATGGGAAAATATTACTTGTATATTACAAAGACTTACCTTACAGAATTAACCCAATGCTCGGACGTGGTGCCCGTGTTCTGTATGCCTACGTTTACAGGATTTCTAAGAATGTAATTTTTATACATAGCGGGATTGGATGGTATACTTAGAGTTAATTCAGGACCATGATCCTCAAAAAGGGTCTGCCGGCCAAAATATTTTCGTTTCTTTGCATATTCATAGATCAACTCAGTTTTATCTGATTTTTCCATAATTTAGCGTTTTCAAACCAACTCGCTTTGATACAGTTATACGTTAATAGAAATTTGATCGATATTGTAACCAACCTTGCTGTGTCCACGCTGTTATTGTCAAAACAATGGATAGCTCGTGATTTATGTACCTACCTAAATCTAGGAGAAATCTGATTTGGTAAATTTCTACAGTTCAGTATCAGTTATTGAACAATATTATAATTTGTAAAGTAATAAAAAATATGACGGTACCAAATTGGATAGTTCATGAGTGATGGAGGATTCAAGGAAAGCAAAAATCTCAATTTCCCAAAACATTTTTTTTTAATTTGGAAATACTGATTAGGTACCTACTGCCTAGTGCCTATTTATTACATGCTACCGTTTTCTGATAATAAGCAGCTGTTGTTCAGTTACCAACATAAGCAATAGAAAGAGCTGCGTTATTTTAAAGTGGTATCCCCGCAGTCGTGGCATGGTAATAGGCCTATTCCACGATTTTTGTTATTACGTTTACATGCCCTCTATGATCCAGATACATTGATATAAAATCATATTGAAATTTTTCTGACCTTTATTGCAACCTTGCAACGTTGCAAGAGATATCTATTGTGCCAGTTATTATAGACGTGAGTGGCGAATTCGATGAGAAGTTTAGCTCAGTTTGTAGTGCTGTGTGTTAATGTCCCAACATATTTATTATATTTATTATTTATTTATTTTAGGGGAAATCGTAGGTTTGCTTAACTCGCATACTAGGAATAAAAATTCTTTTAATGTTTTTAATGACCAGACTAATTGAAATTATTGATTAAATTAAAGTAATTAAATTGATGAAGATTTGTGCTCACACACTTCAATTTTAACAAGTGTTTGAAATATCATACTATAATCGGACTACTATTTTGAATGCTAAAGATTTTATGTGTAGGTATATAAGTATTTGTTACTTCCTTACTCTGTAATATTTTAACAAATGTCAATGAAATACAGAAAGCAGATAGCGTATGAATTTGCATCTCTATAAGTTACAACGCGAACGGAGCCACGTTCCAAAGGTCCGCAACATAAAATGTTTCATATTTTAACATTAACAATAAAACTGCAACTTAAATTAAATTAAACAATAACAAAAAAAAACAAAACCCCAATAATATTATGAATAATAATTATTTTATTTTCGTTAATTTAAAACATGAATAGTAAACTAATACAAGGGTATGGGGTCCGCGGCGGAAGCGCGGCGCAGCGCGAGCACGAGCAGGCGCGGCGTCACCGCGACCTTCACACTGCACTGCTCCAGAAGGTAACTCCAGCGTAATGCTCCTCTCTGGTCTGATGTCATTGCCTTTAATTGCTCTACCTGATTTTAATTTTTAAATATTATTTTTTTAAATATTTTGGGACATTAACACACGGCACCATCTAGTTCCATGGTAAGCTACGAGGCTTGTGTTATGGATACCAGATAGTTGATGTACTACACATGTATAAATTTTAAGTACAAATGTATTATAAATATGAACACCCAAAGCGAACGAACAAATGAACACCCATGACTGAAGTACAAAGATTTGTGCTCAACACACAAATGAATGCCCCCAGCGGGATTCGAGCCCGTGACCGTTGGTACAGCAGCAAGTAGGGTCACTGCAAACTGAGCCAAACCTGTCGTCCATTGCACAATTTTTGGTTTTCCTTTTAATTTTTGAAATCGTGATAAACTACTACACACTAAATTCATTAGTAGGTAGTAGAGTACTTAGTAGTAGTATACAGCCCTTCTTAACGTCCCACAGCAGGGCACGGGCCTTCTCTTCATTAGTAGGTAATCAGACTACTGTTATAAATCTGGAAATTATATGTATAATGTGTGTATGTTTGTTACTCCTTCACGTGGAAATGATATGGACGAAATTTAGAACGCAAAAGTATGACGTCTTGGAGTAACACATAGGCAAATGTACAGGCAGGGAAGCACCCGATCGAAATGATGATAAGTAGCTAGTGGGATATGTATAAATATTATAAATGTAAAAGTTTGTGAGTATGTATGGATGTTTGTTACTCTTTCACACCAGAACGACTGAACTGATCTGGATGAAAGGCACAGAGATAGATTATAGTCTGGAATAACACATAGGCTTTTGATACTGGAAAAATGTACGGTTCCCGAGGGATAGATTTGTTTTTGTAGAGACGAACCCGAGCGAAGTGAGGGTGAGTCGCTAGTGGGGTATAATTTATAAAACCATTAAAAAAGTTTGTAAAACTCTTTGTATCAGCAAAACGGATCATGAAAAGTTGTGATAAACAATAATCTTACAGTATGTCCAAAAACTCCTTCCAATACGTGTATAGGCAGTCTTGCAGTTAATTCGCCCGTATGGTCTGCAAAGCGTACTCTCAAGTCTTCTAAATTCCCATCCCTAAATAAATATTTTTTTAATAATTACATAATAATTACTGTCATTTTTTAATAAATAGAAAACAGTTTGTAGGATGAAACATCATAGTTTTTCTTAACAGATCTCTCATCTTGACTTATTGTGCGATTTTTCAATGTAGGTATGTTTTTGAATTCGTCAGAGAATTGAAGTATCTAAATGAAATTTATTCTAATGTTAAATTTATTATATATGTAGGTAGTTTTATATGGGTACTTTTAAGTTAAACAAACTGAATATTTAAGAAAAATCCATTAAAAATCCTTTTCATATAGGTGGATCGTAAAAACCAAACAAACAAAACAAAACAACACAACAACCAGACAGACAATAAATCTTAATATAATTTGTATATAACTTGCTACCATACACAAACCTATTTAACATGTATTATATGTATATAAAAAAGATACATATATAAAAATGCAAAATGATAACCAAAAAAACTAACGTAGACGTAACAAGATCATCTAGATCTAAGTGCGTGAGCAAAGCATGAAGGGCGGCGCAGAAAGGCACGCCGGACTTGAGCCTGTCCTGTACCTGCGCGACGCACGCGGCGGCGGCGCGCTCGCCGCTCCAGGCGGCCCACGCGGCGGCGTCGCTGCCGCCTGCGCGACCGGAAAAACTAGCTTGTTACCCTAATATTATAATCTATACTAATAGGTATTATAAAGAGGTAAAGTTTGAAGTTTGTGACGTTGTAAGGGGTAATCTACCGATTTAGATGAAATTTGATAAGATAGTTGGAGACCCTGGGGAGGAAATAGGATAAGTACTCTTTATCCCGGAAATCACCACTTAAGGGGGTGAAAATAGGGATAAAAGTTTGTATTGGGAAGCAAGCTAGGGACGAACTCGAGCGAAGCGAGGGTGAGCGCTAGTTATCTATCTATCTATACTTATTATAAAAATAAGTCCCCCGGCCGCGTCTTTCTGTCCTCCTGTCTGTCCTCCTGTCTGTCTGTACGCGATAAACTCGAAAACTACTGAACGGATTTTTATACGGTTTTCAACAATAGAAAGAGTAATTCTTGAGGAAGGTTTAGGTATATAATTTATTATGCTTTTATGTAAATTAGCTGAAATACGGCGACAAATGTTGAAGAGGTCGCAAAAAATCTCGCCAAATGGGAACTTTCCACGCGAACGCCGCGTAAACTAGCAAAGATACAGTTAAGTAATGTACTAGAGAATTCAAAATCTATAAAAATGCTACAAAAAAGTCCGCGATAGCATATCTCTATCTCTTACGGTTGACTTACAATAACCACTTTTATGTTAACATTTTTAATTAAAAACATTACGTTATTTTCAAAGTTATTTTCTTTAGTTCGGTATTAATCCTTATCCAAATGAATATTTTAGTTAGCTTAGTCATTTAATGCAGATTAAAATTGCTCTTTACACTAAATCAATCAGATGAATAGTTTTTGAGATATCGTTGTTAGAAGTAATTAGTAGCGAAACATTTTTAATGCTTGGCGAGCATTGAGATGCATACGGCGAGTCCATCCCCTCTGCCCCGCATCGCTCGACCGCCTGCTCAAGCTATATAAACCGGGCGATGTAGCGCGCGATCCTAGGATACTTTTTACCGCGGGAAAATATCTTATTTCTGAGGAAAAATACAAAAACTGCAATGTAAGAGTATACTAATATGTAACACCTAAGAATTTAGTTTTTGGTCATCTGAACGCGGGCGGAGCCGCGGGCAATGCTAGTATACTTATAAAACGAAGCCAGGATTATTACAACACTTATAATTCGAGAACGGCAGGATCGATTTTTATGATCTATGTTTTGTTGGATTTGTCTTGTTGGAAAAATTCCACAAAAAAATTGAAAACAAAATCTATTTCATACTAAGCGTCAAAACGTACCTAGGGTGAGTCGCTAGTTAGTGATGAGCTAGTTAGTGATGAAACGGATATATGTTAGGCCATAATGCCAGATACCGCATATCCGACGAGATGTAAAGCCGGATCATCGGATCGGTCAAGGCCTTATTGATCAGCGAAAGTCTATTGTTTGCTTGTTAAATTAATGCAATTCTTATAATGGTGGTAACGATGGTGGTCGCGGTCGGTCGGTCGACGGTAACGAAGCGCTACCCACATTCGTCAAAGTGTAGAAAAGTGTACCTTTCAGCACCTTGTTGGATTTTCAAGTCAATTTTGTATTATTTGCCTCAGATATTTTTCTTGCACTTTTTATGGAAATATCTTATTTTTAAACAAACCTCATCTCACATGAAATGAGATAGATATATAATTTGTAGAGCTACTTAGTATTAAATTATTATTATGAAATAATTTAAGGCATAACCTTGGCTTCAATAAACAAATTTAGAACACCAACAAACTGAAATAAACAGAATAAACAACAACAAAATATTGCTTTAAAAGAAAATTTCAGTTTCAGCCGAAACTGTAACAAAAACTTAAGTTTAATTTGTATTTATATTCCTGTTGGAACTTAGAACATCTAGTTTAGTTAAGACACTCTAAGAAGTATGTCAAATAAAACACTAACTCGTATGTCCCTGGCTCTTCACATAAAGGCGAAGGGCTTCTGCATCCGGCGTGTGTGGTTGGTGCGTGAGTACAGTGCGAGAGCACACTTGCACGCGCACGGCCGGCGCCCGCCACGACACGCGCGCGTCCGCGATAAATAGCACGCTGTCTAATGGACGCCACTCTTCGGCTCTAATGTAATTGTAATTTAAAAAAGCTGTTACCCACATCGGACTGTTATAAATATGGTTTAATGGATTTGGATAAAATAATTTTAATATTAATAAAGTACCTATTAAAGCTATGTTAAGGACTTAGGGTGGCTCTCGAGTGAAGCGAGAGTAAGTCACTAGAGTACCGTAAACATGATGTTTTTTTATAGAGAAATGTAAATTCATATATTTATTTATAGATATGGTAATATATTTCAATTTATGCACAACCACATAATTTGACATTGTAAATCGCAGTGCTTGCTAAGTGGTATTTGTGTATACGGATACTCAGCGAAAGCTAGATAGATCGCGTTGATAAATTATGTAGGCTGTAAAAATCTTTAAAATATCAATTTGATGATTATTAATTCAAAAATATCATGGGAATATTTTTTTAATAATAAATTGTTAACCTTTGTATTGTGTCTGTATCAAACAAATCTAGTGTGAGCGAGGCTGGTGTAGAGTTGTCCAAAATTTCAACAGCTCGTACGGACATGTCTACGCCTAAACAAGAATTAAAATATAAGTTGTTAAATATAATTTAAGCACTTAGTTTATTATTGTATAAACATATGTATAATTCACACCTGCTTTTGTTTTAATTGACTTTGCTGGTTTTACCGATTTCACTACAACCAACAAATCTACGTATACATTATTCTTTTGTTCTGTAAACAAACATGCTAAGTAAATTATAGACAAAAGTTTACAATTAAAATAATTAAGATTGATGTTATTTTAATATTAATCAAAGGTCCACTAACCTTTAAATTTAAGAACTTCAGATAATCCGCAATAGCCAGCGCAGGGTTTAGTAGGAATATGGATTAGAGGTAAATACGTAGTAACAGAATCTCTGTCAAATATACTGACTTCAGATTGGCCTTCATTTAGCGATAAATAAAAAGGGGAAGTTACCTAAAAATGATGATACATAAATATAATGATTTTACGAAATTATACATTACTAACGACTCACCCTCGCTTTGCTCGGGTTCGTCAATAGCTTGATTCCTCTTACAAACTTTCATCCCCACTTTCACCCCCTTAAGGGATGATTTCCGGGTTTAAAAGTATCCTATGTCCTTCCCAGGGTTTCAAACTATTTTCTTACCAAACTTCATCTAAATCGGTTCAGTAGATCCAGAGATTATCCCCTACAACGTCACAAACTCACAAACTTTACCTCTTTATAATATTAGTATAGAAACTTATGGTAATCGAGTAGATGTTCTTTCCAAACCTGAGGCCGATAAATTTCATTGTCACCACTTTTGACGCAAATTTTTGGAGAAGATATTTCAACTGAAAATAAAAAATAAGCAGTAAATAGGAAACTAGAATATTATGGTAGCCGTAGGTAATAAAATATTTTTTTTAAGTATTATATGATGCATATATTACCGACATATCCAACGAGAAATCTTTCGTAAAACGTTATAATAAAATATTCCGACCCCCAAACATCAGCATTGATAGTATCAATATGAGAATCACGTAAAGTAAAGGACAATACTCCCCGTGATTCACCATTTTTCTTTTTAGAACCAAAAGTACGAGGGCTACTTTTTGCAATTATAATACCAACAATTAAAGCATTTTTAATATTGATATTTAAATTATTTAAGCACAGTTTTTGAACACCCGACATTTTGAGTATTTCGCGCCAAAAATGAGATTAAGGATAATTTTCTTAGTTTTTCTAGAACATAAAACTAAAGCTAGAAACCAAAGGTGGATGGTACACTTAAGCATGTTTCTTTGTGTGTCTATATATGTATTTACATTAAGAAGTCATATTTTAAGATTTTGTTATTTATCTCGTTATTAGACATTGAGTTTTAATATAGTTTCGAATATTCACAAAACTACATGTAAAAATGTTACAATGGCTTTCGTACACTATTAGACCATTATTCGCTATGAAATAGCGTGGTTTTTGGCATGTCAAATAGAACAAACGCATAATTTCGCAACATAACGAGAAACCCGACTAAACTTTTCACGCTTGTGGCTACTTACCACTTCAATAATGTAATTTAATTTAATGTTTTACTTCTTTTGTTATGTTTAGCTAGTATATTTTTTTATTTGATGGTAACTTTGAGAGGTATAAATTGTGTAACAGCGGTTTCTCAAGGGTTTGAAAAGGACCGTGAATTTTATTTCATTATACTAGCGACTTATCCTCGCTCCGTTCGGGTTCACCGTTCATCCCTACTTACGTTTTATTATTATTATTTGTTGTGTTGGGTGTGGTGTCTAGGTCGGCCCTAGCTACGTCGACCAATTATGGTCCATTGTTGCTCCCTTTAGAATGAATTTAAAGTTCTCCGCTTAGTCCTACTTACGTTTTAACATTTAGCATAGATATATCAGAGATAAGATATTTTCCCGCAGTATAGAGTATCCTATATGTTGATCCGGATGACCAGCTATCATCTTATCTCATCAAAATCCTTTTTGTGGTTTCTCCGTGAAGCGGTCACAGACAGGCAGACAGACAGACAAAAGTTCTAAAAACTATAAGTATCGGCCTCTGTATGGATAATAATGTGTATTTCAATAAGATTTTCCTAAAAATATTTAATGTACAGATTCGGCTTAGTTACAATTATTTTATTATATGTATGTACAGATGACATTACATATTATTGACTTTAACCAACCTTTTTTCCAAGCAACAATTTTCGTAAATTGTTTTTGGAAAGTTTGGTGTTTTCAAACATGGTCTGAAAACTGAAATGTAATAGATATATATTTGAAAGGGTCATAATAAGCAACAATTTAAAAAATGAAACAAATTATTTTTAGTTATGGCTATACACTTAATTAGTTCCTAAACATAACATGTGATACAATTAATGATCGATCTTAATGCATAATTAAATGAATATTATAGTACTTCATTTGTTTGAATCTTGTCATTTTATCTTAATAAATATTAAATACTATTTAAACATAAGAGGCTCTTATTTTTATATTTTGATTCATACGCCTTTTTATGCTATCACTATTTGCTTAATTAAAATTTGTTCATCGAACGATTACCTATAAAAAATATGTTTTTTAATTAAAACGCTATTAATATAATTTAAACAAAGTAGTAATAAATATTTTTAAGTTTCATCCTATTGATATAATAAAAAAACTGAACTATCCAAAACCCACAGTAAATGCAATCAGAAAAGCAACGAAAATGGCAGTAACTTAACTTATATATGTTATTACTATGAAAATGTAAGAAAATTGATCCAAGTTAACCCTACCGACTATACTGAGCGTTCAGTAGCATCTTTCTGTCTGTGACATAAAATCTAGTGTGAACCTACATTAATATAAAGCCGCAAGAGACATGTATCAAGGGCCGAAAAAAAAAAAGTTTTATTGCCATAATTGTCAATTTTGATTTTTGACATATGCCAGAGATTAGACCAAAGAGTATAGATAATAGATATATACTGGATTAGACAATAAAGTTGATTCATGTCTCATGATTGTAATTTTGCCGCCTTGTTGATTAAAATTTATTTTAGCTTTAAATTGATTATTTTTAAAAATGCTTTTTAAATTTGAATCTAAAGATAAAGAATACAATAATAGTTTTGAGCCTAAAGAAGTGGACAGGCATCACTTGGGCTATGAAGATACTTCTAATCGATTTTACCAGGTTTCTCGAGACTTTTCGAAACAATATGCTCATATTTATTCTGCCAGATTAAATACCTTTAGAAATATTTTAAAGCCTATAGTATCCAAAAAGTGGTCTAACAAATATAAAGTTTTAAAATTATGCGACTTGCATGATAAAGGATCAACATGCATTATTATAGGCACCCTTTTTAAAATTCAAAAACTAAAACCGAGTATACTAAAAGAGTTATCAGATCAACTAGAAATCATACCCCAGCCTACCAGGTTTGTCATTTATAATGAATTACATTTTAATTAATTCCTTTTTAATTTTTGTATAGGTAATATTTTGATTTATATTCTTTTACAGAACACATTTTGTCCATGATACAGATAGCTTAGTATTAGAAGATGAGTTGCAAAGAATAAAATTATCAGGTGACTGCATAAATGTTCATGAAGTTGTAACTGGAGTGGTAACTGCTTTACTTGGTAATAAATATACATTTATGTTGCTAGTAAATAATTAAACTTGCATTAAAATTTGATAAATTATTTTTAGGAAGTGAAGATGAAGATGGAATATTTACTGTTAAAGATGTATGTTGGGCTGGTTGCAACATTCAGAAACCTATGCCAAAATTAGAAAATGATAGGTAAATACTTGCTTAAGGTCAAGCTTTGTCAGGTCTTCATTAACTTGTTTATTATTAATAACTAGCGACTCACTCTCACTCCGCTCGGGTTCTTCCCTAGATGCGTTTTAAAGGGTTATAGATTTCTCAGAGATGAGATATTTTTCTACAGTAAAAAGTATATTATATGTTGTCCTGGATAACCAGCTATCGTTCTACCAAATTTCATCAAAATTTGTCCGGTGGTTTTCTCGTGATGTGTTCCCAGACAAACAGACAGACTAAAATTCTAAAAACTATAAATTCGGCCTCTGTATCAATACTTAATAATGACTGTGTCAATAAGATTTTCCAAAAAATATTTAATGTACAGATTCAACTCTCTAAGAATTTTATTATATGTATAGATTTAAAAACATTATTTTACAGGTACATTGTTCTCATGTCGGGTCTAAATTTGGCATCAAAATCTGGAAATCATTTGTTTTCATTAAATCTCTTTCTTGAGTGGTTATCAGGATTTTGTGGTACATCACAATATCAGGAAGAAGTTTCTAAAATTGTCAGGGTCATTATAGCAGGTAAGTTTCGCTGACTAATTCCACTTCACCGAGTGAATGCTATGTTATGCTTTGTTAAATGACTTCCAAAAAGAAGGAGTAGGTGCTTTTTTATAATGAAATTGAATAATATTTTCACATTTATCTACTAGCTGGTATTAAGTTATGTTGAGGAGTATTATCTTTATTTTGGCACACAGCTAGTTTCAAATCTTTTATTACAAATAATAGTTCCTAGTATATTAGCTAAAAAAATAAAAAAAAAATACTATGATAAATAACTTTAATCTGCAGGGGGAGTTTATGCAAATAACAACGCTGAAAGGACACTTGAGGAGTCAGATGTGATAGCTGCTTCTGAAGTTGTAGATTCATTCTCTGCTGCTCTTAGTGCTGTTGCTCCATTAGATCTTATGCCTGGTTGCAAGGATCCTTCTGGAATTATGCTACCACAAAAACCGTTTCACTATTGTAAGTGAATTAACTTAAAATAATATTCTTAAAAGACAATTGAATCTCCAAACTTACATAAATGAACATTAAATTAGATAGATTAGCCATTGTAAGATATTTTAAAGAAGTGTCAATTACCTTTCAATAGTGGTTGCAAATTACTTTCAAAGATAGATTATTTAAGTATACATACAATATTATAGTTCTGGCGTACTTGTTTTAGGTAACGTTAAAGGTCCCGGGGGAGAAGCCAACTCCTAACGGGCGCGTCCCCAGGTGGCGGATAGGGGCATGCCACCCGCTTAGAGGGGCGGGTGGTACCGGAGAAATCCGGCGCGGACCAAATGGCTTGGATGGGGCCGCTCGTCTAGGCCTCGAGCCGAAGACGTTGCGGCCACCGGTGGTGGGACCGCTTGGTCCCACAACCGGATGATGGGTGCCGGTTGCGGGACTGTGGTCGCAGGCCCGCATTCGGCGGAGGGGTAGGCCGCGGCGGGAGGGGAGTGCCGGTATTTCGGTGCGCCGTTCTCCCTACCTTCCGCGGCCTAGACGGGGCCGCCACCGTTTGATGGCGGACGCGGTGGGGCTGCAGGGGAAGAGGAGTGTCGGTGTTTCGTTGCCGCTCTCCCTGTCCTCTGCAGCCGATTGGAGGTGGCCCACTTCGGTGGGCGGTGTTTTGGTTTTATGGGGCTGCTCCGGGTACCTCTCTGACGTAGCAGAGTTGACTGTGGAGCAGCCCCATTGGTTTGGTGGTCTGCCTAGTATTTAGGCAGACCTGCTGCCGGGGCGCCGTAGTAGTTATGCGCAAGCGATCCTGCGGCGTCCCACTAAGGCGGGGGGAAGGGATGTAAAAAAAAAAAAGGTAACGTTAAAGGTAACAACTATTAGGTAATTCCAGGTATTTGTGCAGTAAACATCATTAAATGGTGCTATCTAAAAAGAACGCTGGCTGTCAAGCTAGCGATTTATCGGTCAAATTGTTGGTAAGAAGCGGGGCGCTATTGGTTCGTCAGTTCGAAATACCATCGCGCACACAAAAGTTTTTTATTACGAAATGGTTTTATATATAGAAAAGAGAAAAAATATTTTTGACGTATATTGTTTTACAAACAGAGAGTCTGATAATAATAAAGTTAATAATTAAAAAAAATGTATTAAACGTATTAATTTAATTTTTTGTAAGTAGATTAAACATTCTGCACTGAATCAAACATATTTTAATAATGAATAGAATTCTATTTAATGATATTCTATCTAATATATTTTTCAATGTCCCTACCAATAATTAATATATGAAGCCGCGAGCGAAATGCTATGAAAAATAAAATAATAGGCTTAGTACTTTTGTGCGCAAGTATACCTATGCGCAAACATACCACTTTCTTCCAGCGTTCTTTTTAGATGACGCGAGTTATACATGTAATATATTATGTTTACGTTACATTTTGATTAAAGTTAAAGGTCAAAAATGGTAAAATCCTATAAATGTAATGATTTATTATTCAAAATTTAATAATTCATTATTTTTCTTTCTAGGTTTGTTCCCAAAAGCTATAGAGTATAAATCTTTCAATCGTGTTTCAAATCCATATGAGTGTGATATTGGAGGTAATTATTTTAAATTTAGTTGACTTTGTATTTTGTGTAAATAAGTATATTTATATTACTAATTTTAAAATAAAATAATTTAATTTGCAGGTTTTACATGTTTAGGAACGTCTGGTGAGCCTATTAAAGATATTATGCATTACAGCAAGCTAGAGAGACACATAGATGTAATGAAGAAAACCTTACAATGGCGTCACATAGCACCAACTTGCCCAGACAGTGTCCCATCCACGCCATGTTTAGATTCAGATCCTTTTACAATTTATAATTGCCCTGCAGTATACTTCAGTGGTAACTGCAATGAATTTGCCACAGATCTTTACAAAGGCAAGTTATTCTCAGTATATTGTTTTTTTTAGAAAATTGATAAGGGTATCTTTAATGTGAACACATTATATTTAAAACTATTTCAATGAACTAATGACTCTTCTATCATCTAAGTATCTTCTAACTTATGAGTCTTTTATCATCACTGTTTGTTTATTTTTCAGGAGAGGATGGACAATTGGTCAGGATAGTGTGCATTCCAGATTTCTACAACAGTAAAACTGTAGCATTAGTTAACCTTGCAAATTTAGAATGTTATAGCATGACATTTGCTTGATCATAATATTGAGGAATTAAATGAATTATGGAATTTCATTTGCTAAAAAATAAATTTATCATTTTTATTTTATTTTTTTATTTCTCAATTGTAATATCTATAGGGTACGTGCATGTTTGTCAATAAATGTAGTTCTTTTCGTTGATCTTATCTGGACGTTTCTCTGTTCGCACCTGTAAATTAGAATGTAGTGTGAGTACGCCACATTTGTTCCAACCATAGATCAATACTAAAATCCTAAAAATCAATTCCTAATTGTTTATTTGTTTTCGACACCTGTTCACGCCGTCAGGAGGACATTATCTGTATAAATATTATAAAATGTAAAAGTTTGTGACTATGTATGGATGTTTGTTACTCTTTCACACTAGAAAATCTGAACGGATCTGAATTGGCATAGAGATAAATTATAGTCTGGAATAACACATATAATACTTTTCGTCCCGGAAAAATATATGGTTCCCGAGGGATAGATCCCGGAAAAATATGTTTAGTTTTTCTAGAGGCGAACTCGAGCGAAGCGAGGGTGAGCCACTAGTAGTATATTAATAAACATACTAGTACTGATTTATTGGGGGAAATTGGATCTGCACTCTTGCTGAAAGGGAATCTTCAATCTTCTAGGGATCCAGTCAATAGATATTAGATTTACGAAAACAAACACGTAATGGGGAAGATTTTGCCTTTTTCTCCCGCTAGGTGTCGCGATCACTATGATCCTAAGTATATTGTAAAGCTCTAGCGTGGCTGGGAAATTTACCTTTTTTTTTAAATTTAATTAAAATGACAAATTGTGTAGTGTCAGAATGCAAAAAAAATGAATATAATTTATTCCCAAAAGACAAATATTGAAGAAATTGTGAGCTAAATCAATAAAACGACCGAAATTGGCGAATTCACAATCTTTATAGTTAAGGCTATGTGGACATCATTTTACAGAAAGTGATTTTAAAACTCTTAAATCATCTACAGGTGAATATTTATTTTTATTTTTTGTACATATTTACATATTAATTTCAGAGTTTCATAAATTCAAATTCAAAATATTTTATTTAGTTTTTCTTATTTTTTATTTTTATTAAGTTTTTTTTATAAGTCAATTTTTTACTGAACGTCATGAGTCTACGACCAGTTCGGAAAGAAGAAGCCTCAGACCTGAGAAGAACTGGCGAAAGAAAGTCAACGGGACTCATATTAGCTCGTAATCTTATTTTTATAATAAAATATATATTTATTTCATTGTATTGACGAGTATTAACACTAAGTTTCAAGTTATTCTGATCATAAATAATTGTTTGCCTATATAAACTTTATTATCCCCTTTTACCCCTTTAAGGGATGAATTTCGAAATGATTCAAATAAATATATTTCTTATTTTTCATCTTAAAGCTAAACACCACTGTTTGTGTATTTCACATTAATAAGTCAGTTTCATAAAATTTGTAATTTCCTATTTTACCCACTTAAACGATGAATTTCGAAAAATCCTTTCTTATCGGATGCCTGATACATCATTTATGAAATACGTCCTCCAATATTCATGTTTCTGCTTTCTACGACCAGCGATTTAGGTTGTGTGTTGATCCATCAGTCAGTCGGGACCTTTTCCTCCTCAATTCTTCAGCTGGTTTAATTTCCAGGTACAATACATTGCACAGGTAAGATAAGAACACAATAGATGCAAAAACCAGGTGCAAATCTTTTTTGATCATTCATTATAATAAATTGCTTAATGTCAGACTGAATGTAAATAGATCATACGTGTAGCGCCCTCCTTTTAAGAAATCTTCATTATTGGAACAACAAATTTCTCTACTACAAATTACAATTGACATATCTACTTAGTCTGTGGTCTATTTAGGGATGTCAGGTGTCTAGAAAATATCGATATATTGACAGTGATATATATCGATTTAAGTCCATACCAATATATCGATATATTATATGGATTAGAACGCCGATATATCCATATTTCTATCTTTAATTTTAAAACAATAAATAAATCCAAAAAGTTATTATCAATCAGATAAATTACCATTGCAAAGTGAAAAGAAATTCATAGTAATGCAATAATCAGTATACATATTAAACACTAGCGTCTCACCATCGCTTCGCTCCGGTTCAGCCTCTAGAAAAACAAAAACAAATATATCGCTTGGTAACCGTATATTTTTCCAGGATAAAAAGTAGCCTATGTGCTATTCCAGACTATAATCCATCTCTGTGCTAAATTTCATCCAGATCCGTTCAGCCGTTCTGGCGTGAAAGAGTAACAAACATCCATACTCATAAACTTTCACATTTATAATATTATATCTATAAGTATAGAAGTATATAAGTTAGACAGCGCAATTACAGGCAAGAGGCATATCATCTTAATCCTCACAGTGACAACGCACCTACGGTTCTGCATTTTTGTAACATAAAACCCAAGTGTATGAACCGTAGGTGTTATGGGCGACAGGTACCGCTTTCTATCAGGTGGGCTGTCTGCTCGTTTGTCACTGATACCAAAAAAAAATAGAAGTATAGATATTATAGTTCATTATACATATTATAGTGCATTAATTTCTATAATTAAACATAATAAATATATTACAATTATGATAATTATAATTTATATATATTAATTTTAGGAAATTTGCCGGTCAGAGAAATTAAAAAAATATATTATACACCCAGAGAGATAATTAAATAAATTATTTATAAAAAGTGTTGCAGCTCTTGTTAAAATTCTTAACATAATCGTGTCATAAAATTGTAAAAAACTTAAAATTGAATACCCACCGATTTAGTGGGTATTCAAGTTTGGCGCTTATAATATTTCATTTCGATATTTAGATTTTGTCGATATCGATAAATATCGATATTTTGATATCGATGTAACGATATATCGGTTGTCCGATATATCGTTGCATCCCTAGGTCTATTACTCATCATGACTCAAAAGTAGAAAGACGTGTTATTTGTTTCCTTTCGTGTAATTTATTGCGTTAAGATGGGTTTCTAGTTTTCTAAACGTTTTGCACACCTGCGTGTGCCTTCAAAAGATAATAAAAATGCTGTAAGTACCAAATATTTTATTTTGCAATCACGTCATGGTAGTAGCATTATTGTAAATTCCATAGCGTCGAATGTTATTACGCCATACAATGTAGCTTTCACTTGTCGCTTGAGTCATATTCGTGTATACTAGGAAAATCTAATAGAAGTGCATACCATGCATATGTGCATAGTGCATTTTCATATTATACTATGTAGTTTTAGCTACAAAAGTAGTACCTATTTATTCATTATTCACAGATTTTTATTTAACAATATATTCATAGAAATATAGCAATGTTTATGTTTCTTCATTTAAAAATTTCTTTTTGTAACTTAAATAGTACTAATCTAATTGTGTGATTTCACTATTATATTTTTGTTTAATGTTTATTTTTACATAGTAAACTATGTTACAGTTTGTGACATAAAGATAGGTACTAAGTTAAGGTTAATTATAGTCTTAAAAGTGAAAGCCATCGTTTATTGAGACATGATTTGCTAACAGTACCATGTGGTATTGTGAAATGTGAAACAATTTGAAATATGTATCTATTACATGTCATAATCAGTATTTTGCAAGGTCGACACTATATAACTAAACAGTATATAAATAAAGATATCAATGCTGGTTTAATACTTCTTTTTCTTAATTTTATTTTAATGTAGGTATCTAATGTTATTTGTTACAAAATGATATAAATAAAATATAGCCAGCAGATGAAAAATATTTTATTCTAGTCATATGCTATTCTAAGGATGCTATTGTTACTCTTATACTTGTTAAGGTAAAATAAGATTTGTAATTATGTTCATTGTTTATTGTTAATTTTCCTGTTGGATATGTGCTTGGGTTTTTGTTTTTACGGATTGATGACTTGAAGCATATGTGTTGACCTAATACATAATATACTTCAAGTTATCCAATAAACAGTCATTGTAAATTTCAAAATGAAAATACAAATAATTTTACATATAAAAAATAATAATTATAGTAATATTACCAAAACAAGAGTTTATGCAAGTGTTTTTATGTATGTTTGTTTCTTTATCATGCAAAGATCGGCTATAGTTTATAAATACATAAAAAATGATACCAACTCCAAAATTTTGTTGGAATTTATATCTAGCAATCCTGAAATGTTAAACCTATTAAACTTATACAATCAAAATATTAAAAAGTTCTTCACTTCTCTCACTAACAATAAAATTATTAAAGTTTTCAGAAAAAAAATTACCTTTAGTAAACTAAGTATACATACTTAAATACACATACATACATACAATAAAAAAACTTAATACATAAAAAAATAAACAAGCAAATTTAAAATAAATATTTATATACATTAATAAAATAATTTCAGTGCCAACATGGCGCCTTCAACGGAGACCTTTGTCCCTCGACCACTATCATCATCATTAACGGACTTCGACCGATCCCGATTTCTATTTACTTCTGTGGTAAGTAATATAATATATGAATGTAGTATAAAAATATAATATATGAATATTAAGTAATATAGAATGAGTAAAAAAATATAGTATATGAATAGAAATATTCACAATTGTATTATTTTTATGAATTATAAATTAGAAAAAAATAAATAATTATTCTCTTTTGTTTAAATTGAAGTGCCGTTTTTACATTTACCTAATTATCTACTTTTTATATTTACCTTGATACATCTATTAATATTGTATAGTTTATGTAATTCCATTCAAATTTAAATATTACAGAGTGAAATCGATACAATCAACATCAAATATGAGTGCAAATCAATGGAGTTGGGCGCCGGCTTCGGCCGAGGGCCTTTTAACTGAAAAGGAATGCTCAATGCTGCTCGAAATAGATCTTTTTGACACCAATGAAGGTAAATATCCAACTAGAATTAATATTTCCATAATTTTCATAGCTCCATTCCAAAAGTATTATGCCTTTCCCTCAAAATATGCATTATACTTTTGGAATAAAAAAATAATTATTAGAAATACCTTTCATCATTTTATAGCAACATTCTTTATTTTTAACCCTCCACGCTAAAAGAGGGATGTTATGAGTTAGACGTCGATGTCTGTCTGTGTGTGTCTGTCTGTGGCATCGTAGCTCTCAACAGATTTCGACGCGTTTTTTTCATTTGAAAGCCAGTTTCCTTGCGGTGGTTCTTAGCTATGTTTGCTTAATATCGATCCAGTAGTGTATGAGTATTAGCTCTTTTCCAAAATGATGTAAGGCATTTTGGCGTATGATTACTCGATTAAGTGCATCGTTAAATGACAATTAATTTGTGTAGGGGGTTTTTAATTTTATTAATTTATTAATTATAACAATATGGATATGTCGTTCGTATTTTATTAATTTGGAAAATACTAATTTTGATACTAAACTTCAAGAAGTGCAAAGTCATTCAATTAGCTTATATAAAACGCTTGTTCAATAATTACGTGCTGATAGAGATAATTAAAGTCATCGCGTCAATTGATGTCCGAGTCGATGCGGCTAGACGACCCTGAACTATTTTTCCTTTAACTGAAACTTTTATCTTATAGTACTTTGTAGAAATAATAATTTTAATTGGCTTCATATAAGCACATAATACAATTGAAATGATGAATGGCGATGTGTTTGTAATCAAAAAAGCGTGAAGAGTTCTCTTCATTTTAAAAGCAATACACATATGTACCTATAATGTATTCGAGCTTTTTTAATGTTAAAATAAAACTTATCTTTTCATGATGAATTCAAAATATTATAAAAAATGAATAAGACAATGTAGTACAGATTTAGTTTTAAAAACGTTTTTTATGAGTCAGGACTCATCTTGTTAGATGTTTTAATTAATTCGATATTCTAATACTAAACTTTAACTTTACATTCTTAGATTTTTATACTAAATAAATACCTACTTAAATAATTATTAAAATTAAATACAACAAATATTGTAAGGCACTTTGGTGCCATTATTGAATTTTTGAAATCACTTTTGTAAAATAGTGGGTAGGCACTGTCTGTCATAAGTATGTTATGCCTTTGATACGTCTAGAACCTTAGTCTCTCCCGTGACCATGATTGCTGTAAACCATTCGAAACATCGGGAACCAAAAATCAAAATAATCCGCCAAATAATCCGAAAAGATAGTTTTATTTAAAATACACATTATAATGTTTGTAAAAGGGCATAAATTACTCCTCTTTCTCTTTCAAAAGTAATTGAAAAGTAAATACATACTAATCGAAATAAAATTACTAAATTAAATAAATTAAATTATCAAATTGTTTGAAAGTCAAATAAACGGAATTTTTCATTTTTATAAAATGGAACGAAATACTTTGTTTTTATAAATAACAGGGGATTTTTCGTTAGTAACCACAAAAATATACACAACGAAATGGTCGAAAAGCCTATCCAGTGGCACTTTAATTGTATTAAATAACTAGCGACTCACCCTATATTCGCTGGGGTTCGTTCCTAGCTTGCTTCCCAATGCAAACTTTCATCCCCATTTTCACCCCCTTAAGGGATGATTTCCGAAATTTCATCTTAATCGGTTCAGTAGATAATGTAGTTATGCGCTTGTATTTATTGGTGTGTAATTATTAATTTTATTCAATTAAATTATTCGTTTAAATAGATAACCCTTTGTTGTATACGATGATACAATTTCCGTGAATAAGTGTGATAATAAATCTCTTATCTCCACCTTTATAGCGCTGTTATTTGTAGTTTTATAGTACAGTAGTGAATTGTTGGATTATATACAATTTTTGTAAAATGCACACAATCTAATACTATATTAATATTTAGATTTTCTATTCAAAATCATTAATTTTCACAAATGTATACAAAAAATATTATTTTTTATATATTTTGTATTCAGCCCTTTTTAACTAACCACTGCTGGACACGGGCGGAGGCCCGTTTAATACGAAGGGGAACAGGCGAGTGTGGACTGACCAAACGCAGGTTGGCGGACTTCACAAGTCTTTCGAAAACTTGCTTGCTTTCCTTTGGTTCTCTTAGACATGCAGGTTTCCTCGCGATGTTTTCGTACACCGTAAGACAAGTGGTAATCATAATGAAAATGATTCGCACATGAAAATATCAGAGGTGCTACACCCGGGATATGAACACGCTCGCTTGGTTTCACAAGCGTGCGGTTTACCATTGGGCTTCCACTGCCTATGTACCACTTATATACTTTATATTAGGATTATTATAATGATGTTTGTTTATGAGTTATCAGTCTAGTTATTCCTGTTATCATTTTCGAGTTACGTAGTATTTTATTGCTGATTTGCTTCATCTTCCTGGTGTTACGGATAATGTATGTACTATGAGTTCGATTTTTTATGAGGGGTTAAAGGCGATAGATAATAGTTTACAAGATAATTAGTTATAATTTTATTACGACGCTTCCTTATTTTATAACGTATTGCATTTCTAAGTAATAAATAATCTTTTTAATAATATTCCTCATTTTTAAAGTCAATTTGATTTGACGACACGTTTGGCTCACTTTGTAGTGACGCAGGTTCGAGTCTCGCTGGGGGCATTATGAATATTTGTACTCCAATCATGGGTATTTATATTTTATAATACGTATGTAGTTAAAGTTCTACTCGTATATGTGTAGTGTATCAACTATATGGTATCCATAACACAAGCCTCGTAGCTTACCATGGAACAAGATGGTGCTGTGTGTTAATGTCCCAATATATTTATTTGTTATTATTTATTTATATCTGTTATTTTTGAGTAGGTGGCGCTGTGTTCAAGTTATTAATGAATTTATGTTTATGGATCAAATTACTATATCATTTATATACAATCTCAGACTAAAAGAATAATATAGATGTAGTGTCAAAGTATTAAATTTGAAGTCAAAATACTTGTAATGGATTTTAATTGAAATTAAATTACAGTTTTTTACTAATTAGTTATAAAAATATTAAAAACAATATTTTCTTATGTACAAAAATATCAAAGTCCTTAACTATATTACCTATTATTCGTTCAATATAAAAAAAAAACATTACACAAATATTCATGCATTACTTCGATAAGTAAGTAAATTAAAATGGCTAACGGTATTTTATAATAAAGAAAAAAAATTATCTCTCTCAAAGATAATTAAAGCTTAATATATACAAAAGAATAAAGTATTAGGTTTATTATATTTGTAATAATTCATTCTTTTCAAAAATTGTAACTTAAAAAAAACATACAGCCGAATTGAGAACCTCCTCCTTTTGAGGAAGTCGGTTGACTATTAATTTAGAAAATATATGTGGCGTCATCACCATATCGGAAATAGTAGCATAAACAGCAAAATCACGATACTATTTTTGGTTTTTACCTTTTGCAAACTTACTTTTTTTGCAAAAAAGGGGTGTTATAAGTTTGACGTCGATGTCTGCCTGTGTGTGTGTCTGTCTGTGGCATCGTAGCTCTCAAACGGATGGACCGATTTCGATGCGGTTTTTTCATTTGAAAGCCAGTTTCCTGGCGAAAGCGATGGTTCTTCGCTATGTTTGGTTAATATCGGCCCAGCAGTGTAAGGGTAGCTCTTTTCCAAAATGATGTAAGGCATTTTGGCGTATAATTACTCGATTATTATTGCTTCACGCGTGCCAGTGTAATTGTCAAATGACAATTTGCGTAGGGGGTTTTTTAAATTTTTAATTGATGATCCATGTACATAGTTCGTTTAATATGTATACACAATATACATATTCCATATTATGCAATTATCTTATTTAATATATATATATTCCATATTATGCAATATTCTTAATTATAGAAAATCTAGTAAATAGCTTATGTAGACCTGTAAAAAAATGACAATTTTGATACTGTTTATTCCTTATTTATATACATTATAAAGCATTTTACAGATTTTTAATTTATATGAATTTGGGAACTTCAGATGTCTTTCATAATTATTAAAAATACTGACGTATTTTTTATGACTATGAATTTTGTTTACTTATAATTTGTATTTTTTTAATTTAAGGTTGCAATCTCTTAACACTTCTTTTATATAGTCAAACAGAAAACCTACAAAGATCGGCGACAACCCGTGTAAAGTTTACACCAAACATGGTTACGAAAGACTCCCTAAAAGATAGTTATATTTGAAATCATCATTCTACATTTTTACTATTTTACTAACGAATTCCTTTGTATTTTTTTTGACATCTGAAATTTTTAATTAAATTTAAAAAAAAAAAAAAAATTAAAAAACCTTTAGTCAAATACGATAACACAAAACAAAAGCCCTTGACAAGGACACTTACAACAATTGAGTTATATATTACATTTTAGAAAGTGACTGATTGGAGTCTTAAACAGCTATTTAAGGTTGGTCAATTAATTTATATTCGACAGTCCAAGAAGTGGGTCATGGTTATGTACAGCAAATTCTTGTAAGTTTTACATCAGATAATTGTGCAAGTTATAAAATACTTACATATACTTTACGTATATAACACATTTCAAATTGTTAGATTCATGTTTATAATAACATCTTCCACAATATCTATACATATAATAAAATTGTAACTAAGTCGAATCTGTACATTAAATATTTTTTGGAAAATCTATTTGAAATAGACCTTATTATTGATACAGAGGCCGAATCTATAGCCTTTAAAATTTTTGTCTGTCTGTCTGTCTGTCTGTCTGTCTGTCTGTATGTCTGTCTGTCTGTCTGTCTGTCTGTCTGTCTGTCTGTCTGTCTGTCTGTCTGTCTGTCTGTCTGTCTGTCTGTCTGTCTGTCTGTCTGTCTGTCTGTCTGTCTGTCTGTCTGTCTGTCTGTCTGTCTGTCTGTCTGTCTGTCTGTCTGTCTGTCTGTTACCGCATCACGAGAAAAC